AATTTCCTGGTTCTTCAGTTTCACGTTCAAAGCTCGTGTATGCATGATACAACTGTTGTAATAAATCGTCCAAATTTGTTCTGATAGATGTCATTAATATCTACAAGATGAATTATGTAAATTCGAAAGGGGTGATAAAACTGGTAAATAGAAAACAAGAAATCTATTTTTCTTTTCATTTAAAACGAGTATTTCATAAAATATAGGCATGAAGTTTTTCGCCAAGTGTGCATTGTCTTTACTGAATTCTATGTTTCATATGGAAGATGATTATATACTTGCATCGTTCCTTCATCCGAAATTCAAAGGATTGCTATCAGTAACACCGGCTAAAAAAAGCGAATGTTATTGTGCCTGTACTTTTTTGTATTATCATAACAATTTTGGTATTATGCTCTTTTTTGTGCTCTCATATTCTTTTGAATCTTCTCTGCAATACTTTGTAAGATAAACCATAAGATCATCAAACACAAACTTTTAAAAAGAACTTAATGAAAAACTGGAAAAGAGTCATCGAAGAGGCGGGGCGGGGACGAGAAAGCAAAAAACATACAGAGTGGGACCAGGGCGAGGTCGGGTGAAGAAAATTTTCGACGAGGGGGGGGGAAGTAAAAAATCCACCCCGTTTCCGCCTCTGATTTTAACTCTACTCANAGAAAGCAAAAAACATACAGAGTGGGACCAGGGCGAGGTCGGGTGAAGAAAATTTTCGACGAGGGGGGGGGAAGTAAAAAATCCACCCCGTTTCCGCCTCTGATTTGTACTCTACTCATTTACATTCACACCCATACCCACATACCCACACTGACACCCACATCCTCAAGAATACTTTGGTTTTTCCCATCCCAGTAAATGTCTTTGGCACTGTTCCCAATTGCTCATACATCTAATGTTGTTCAAAATTCTTTTCCAATAAGATTTACCCATTGCATTCGATCTCTTGAAATAAATTCTTGTACTTCGTCAGCCAACTCAGTGTTCCTCTTGCATTTTCAGCATGATGCTGCATTTGTTTGTTTTCGTTCTCGGGTGGATAAACTTCTGCGTTCTTCCTACTTCTTCTACACCGTGTCCCATAAATGTATATGAAACATTAACGGTGGCATTTGATGATCATGATTTCACAGCAAATCTCAATGATATTTTCACTTGAATACGATTACAGAAGCAAACATTAGGGTAGTAAATAGGTTCAGCATTCAGCCAGCAAGTGACCTCAAAATAAGTAGTCTCAAATCGATATCGATATGCATGAAGATCTTTTAAATCAACATCGTGCTAGTTATTCTTTCACATGAATGCCGTTTTATGTCATTTTTACCATCTGTCGTTTTACTGCGTTGTTTCAGATATATTTATTCCGCTGACACGGCTGTGCAAGACGAAGAAGAAAATTATAATGATACATTATCAAGACAGATGTCGTACTTTTCACAAAAATTCGGTTGCTCAACTTCACTATCGTTTTACAGTATTCATTTTAACAATGGAAATTGCAATAGGATGGCGTATTCATGGGGCTGAAATCTAGGCTCTATGAATTTAGAAGAAGGAGATCCAACACAATGTGGAAAAGGCAAATTTCATGGTATTCCCATTTGTCTTAGATGTTATAGAGAAAATAATGACGAAATAAGACAAATATGTAACACTTTTAACGGAGAAATGAGAGAAAAGCATCTAGGAAAAAAATCAACGAAATTATTGAAGAAGGTAATAAAATGGGAGTTATCATAAGAACGTGATCATGTCTCTCATATAGCTTTCTTCAATCAATATAATTAACTGTCATACCATACCATTTCATTCACATTTTTATGCGATCATTCAAGTCGCAACATTTGTTCTAATATTTAATGAACTTAATCACATACTTTCAACCACTATGAAAAAAGCCAAGTGACGATGACGATTTTCCAGTTTCATAAATAGCCGAGACGTTGTTCTAAGTGAATCGTATTTGTGATAGTTGATTATGAAAATCATGATTACTAGCAGGATCATACAAAGATTTCGGTTTTCTAATAGCTAAATCGATGCACTAAATATAAATCGTTAGTATACATGAAATTTATTTTTCTAGATACTATATTAGCGATCAAAGTAGCGTTGAAAAAATAATTTAATAATGGCAGATATTGGATTTCTGTCATTACCGACAGAGCTGCATTATCGAATATTTGATTATGCTGATGCTCAGACAATTCTTATATCTGTTCGTCGTACTTGCAAACGACTCAAAGAATTGGCCGATGACTACGATAGATTTCAACTTTGTTTCAGCTGGCAATTAGCAATGACCATAAAATCGTTAGTTCGTGTCATTCGATCTGAGAATATCAATGCTTTAACGCTTTCGGACAAACTCCAAAAAAATACAATCAACGTATTTTTTTCCTTATTCGATAAACACCATTTCACTCGATTGAGTAGCTTAACACTAGTTGGAATTCATGACTGTGAACTAGCTTAGGTCCTAAAGAATTTTAATATGACTTCTTTAACTTCACTTTCAATCAAATCAAACGAAGATAAACATGGTAGAACATGGAGTCTGATTTCTTCAGCATTGGTTCAATGGAATCTCAAAACACTTTGTATGACAAATGTGAACTACGAGAACAATAATATACTTTGAACAGTTCAAAGTCATTTACAAAATTTAATGATTCGTGATTGCACTTATGAACAATATTTTTTCATTCTTAACCAATTACCATGTCTAAAAACATTCACTATCAGAGATTGTTTAGTAAAGCATACTAATGGTAAATCATTAATATCAGCAACGTCAACATTTCAAAGTAGCTTGGAGTCTTTGACTATGAATGATTGCTCAGTTTCATTAGAAAACTTCGAGTTGTTGCTGCAGTCGATTAATACACTTCGTCATTTGAAACTAATTTCTCGAAGTCGAAGATTATATTCCATGTTTGATGGATATCGTTGGGAAAACATCATACGAACGAAATTGCCGGCTCTATGCAACTTTCAATGCTTCTTTTCTTATATCGCTTTTACGAGTAGTACTCATGCCAGCAATATTGAGTCACTTATCGTTCCGTTTCGAGCACCATTTTGGGTTCAGGAAAAACGCTGGCTTGTATGCTGTGCTTGTGTTCTGAGGCACTCTAATATTTGGCTTTACACGACACCCATTTGTGTTCCTGATATTGACACATCATTCATATGCGAAATTTTATCGACTAATGATAGTTATCATTTAACTAAACGACCGATTCATACTATTATTAATCCTGCATCGGATGAAGTATGTAAAACAGACTTTCATGAAAACAAAAAATCATCTTTGTTAGCTTTGTACCTCCACTCACGTACTCGAGTGTTAGCTCATACGAGATTTCGCTAGAATAGTTTCCTAAAGATTCCAGAATAAAACTATACATTTAACGCACATCAATGTTTAGAAGAACTTTTCTCACTAAAACGAAAATATATCTATTATCTAGAATTTAACTGAACTCAACCTTCAACAGCATTTGATCTTTTGGACAGGTGCAATATATTTAGCTAATTTCATGCAACAAAGCAAAGCAAGTATCCATCATCATTGCCATTCTTCTTCTTCTCACTCATAGGTATTTTTCGTACAGACGATCACTAAGTTAGATCTTGCAAAAAATCAACTACATGCGATGGGAGCTCAATATATGGCTGATGCTTTACGCAATAATGTCGTAAGTTTGTTTAGTTCTTTTTATTTGAATTAATAAGTTTGATTTTCATACAGACACTTACCACACTAAACCTCTATGATAATGATATTGGTAATGAAGGAATTAAGTATATTGCTGAAGCCTTAGTCCATAATACAGTACGTCTTCGCGTATATCTTCGTTTTACGCACTCATGCCACCAAATCTCTTACAAAAATACTAGATACTTAAAATATTGGATATTGGAGAGAACAAAATTACAGCAAACGGAGTGAAGTTTCTTACCGATGCTCTACAAAACAACACGGTACGTTCATCATATGAACGATAAGTTGAGAATAGATTTACAACAAAAGGAGAAAATTCAAATAAATGTTAATAAATGCATTAGCATGATAAATTTCATACACTTCGTATAAAATAAGAATAATAATGAATTCATCCTTAATTGTTTCTCGTGATCGAGACACTCATCAAGTTGGATCTTGGACAAAATAGAATAGGTAATATGGGGACAGAGTATTTTTCTGGCGCTCTTAAACTGAATTCAGTAAATAAACGTTATGATCTTTCTATTGTATCATGTTTGAAAGTCTTGCTATTGATTTAGTCAATCACTGAACTTAATTTAACAGTTAATGAAATCAGAGAAGAATGAGCACAATATTTAGCCGATGCTTTACGTCAAAATACAGTGAGTGTTTATGTCGAATATTTTATTGAGTTCTCTCCTTTACACATTTCAATAGACCTTGATTAGACTCTCACTAGGTCACAATTTAATAGGCAACTTGGGAGCAATGCATTTAGCTGATAGTCTACTTCACAATAAAGCAAGTATTTTCAGCTGAACATGCTATGCCATAGCACTTTTTATCGATGCAGACACTCGCCGTATTAGAAGTTGGTAACAACAATATTGGAAATGAAGGAGTTCAACATTTTGCGAATATGCTAAAGCAGAACGATGCAAAAGCGTATTTCATCCGCATGCCTACAGTCGAATGCAAATACTTTCTCATGTAGACACTTGTGACGTTAGATCTTCAAGTAAATGATATTGACAATACTGGTGCGCAAGTTCTTATAGATGCTCTACAACAAAACAAAGTGAATACTTTCATTTTTTTTCTGCTCTTTTTGAAATATTTTGCTTTGCTTCTCTTCTACATAGACAATGAAGCTATTGATGCTCTATGGTAACAAAATATCGTACGAACTGAAGCCTCAGTTGAGTGCTCAAAATCGTCGAATTGATTGTTAATACATCGTTTTCTAAATGATATTACAATAAAATTTTTCGAATAGGTACCTCTAAATATACGCATATGGCGAGCTGTGACGAATAAATATAGACCTATCGTTGCTAGCCAATACTGTATTGATTGAGAACAATGTTAATTTAAAGGTTGTTTGTTTGTTGAAGAAAAGCTTTTCAGTCAAACAGGTAGAAATTGACCAGTGATAGGAGTCATTTTGAGGCTTTTATTTGAGAAGAGAAATTATTACAGCAATTCATCCTATAAGTATTGTTGTTATATATTGGGTTTAAATCAAGAAAGAAGGGATCAAATGTCAAACAATCACGAATACTTTTCATATGTTTTATTTGTGTGTGGGAAAAATGTTCAGTTCATATCTACCAAAATGTGAAAATTGGAGTTGTATTTGAAGATGAGCTTCACAGAAAATATCAGTCAAACAGACTCATTCATTCCGCTGGAAGTAATGACGACATCACTCTCTCAATACATTCTTCGACTTCGTGCCGTTGTTCTCGGTTGCCTATATTAGAATCATTGTTGTAATCTTCAGCTAATTGTATATAGACATGCAGAGCTTCTTCATAGCAATTTGTTGTTTCCAATATTTTTCCTACACAGTGCACTGTTCTAATATAATCATCAGGCGAACAATGAGTCTTATCCTCCAATGCCATCTTATAATATTTTAAAGATTCATCATTTCGTTTGAGTTCCTGATAGCAATAACCCAATTGAATATAAAAGTTTACTTTGAGTGAGGGTCTCAATGGAATCATTCCAGATATACTACTGCTGAAAAGTGCGGCTTCTGTATAATGTATTGCTAGCGTGTATTGTTTGTTTTTTATCATTATCAATACCATATTATATACATGATCATTCAGGTTTTCGAATCTGTTACTAAGGTTCTCATCATTATTTAGTGCTTGACATAGATCATGTGTGGATAGACTCAAAAAATTCCCTGCCAGATTCTGTATCTCCTGCATGCTATGATGTAAAGTAGAATAATCTTCAGTACGAATTGGAATACCATCATCATGGTTTGGCGATGCTGTCTTACCAACTTTAATCTCATTCATTTTGTCAAACCACAACTTTGCTTCATGTGTGTTATGTTGCTGATTTGCGATGGTCATCAATTGTCGATAGCAAGCATAGTTTATGTCCTCATTAACATCTTTTGACAGTAGGTCCTTATATAAGTCTTGGGCTTCTTGAAATCGTTTCTCTTCAGCAAGAAGCGTACCAATATGAAAAAGTGGATGATGCACTTGAACGCTTCGTATTTTTTCAACCTTGGTATACACTTGGTTTAAACATTCCTTGAATCCTGTTTTTAAAACCATCTTAAATGTGTAAATATTGACACCGCTTTCGAAGATAATATCGAACTTATTAATTGTGAATATTTGACCAGGTGCGAATAACACTTCTTTTTCTTTAGGGAAATCACTAAGCTGAGAAATATCAGCAACTGGTAAGAACTGTGACACATCTTGTTTTTTGATGATTATTTCAAAAATGGTTGCAAGACGTGTACCATCACATAAGCTAGATTGTGCTCCTGTGAGAAAGAATTTTGCGATATTTCGATCTTTGGATATCGAAAAAAAGCTGTTCACTGCAACAATAGATTGATTCTGATAGGCACCGACTAATTCAGCAATTTCCTGTGGACTAGATATTTGACCTCGATATATAGTCAGTTCATTATTATCTGGTTCTCGAGACATCAGATCACGCAGTTTATAACATATATCCTGAAGAATGAATCGAAAGAGGAAAATATGGCGAATGTTTAATTCACGTAATGCTCTATTAAGGTTTTCGTAAATAAATCCATGTCTGGTATAAAAGGGGATAGCTTGTTCTGGTGAATATGTATCTTCGAACATTTTGATCTGATCTGATGTAGCCAAATCTTCTTCTTTCAATAAATTGATCAGATCGATTTTACTCGATGAATAGGGTTGAGCATGCAACATATACAAAAATATCGAGTAGCGGCCTATGAAATTTTCGTTATGTTGTCTAAACGAGCGTTCCTTAGGTTCGGTGAGTATGCCGATATCATCATTATCTTCTTGGTTATTTGTAAAACTAAATTTAATTGGATCCGTGAATGCTGTTTTTGGTATTACTTTAATTTTCATTGGTGAAGCAGCGCTCTCGTATGTTACATCCACTTGTGAATTTGCCGCGTGTGTGGCCTAAAACAGGAAAGGATTTTAGATAGAGAATATTTTAAATACGAGGTCATGGGAAACATCGTGACTAAAACATATACATTCTAATAAGTTCATCATTAGTTTATTATGCGTACATTTCGAAAAGATACTTTATATTGTTTCTCGGTAGCAAAAGTATCGATCATATTCTTCTACAACTCTTCACAAATTGAAAATGTTAAAACACGGATTGTGAAGATTGGCGACCTCTGATTTGCTATTTTATGAGAAATTTTATACGATGATACGCGGTCTAGAATCTTCGAATTGAGTTAAAAGTGTAGGATTATATAGGTCGAAACCTGATGGGATACAATATGGTACACGTATTCAGGATATGATTTGAGAAACTAGTGAAGGACTGAGAGATTAGCTAATTGATCCAATGTGCTTTGGTTTTCAAGGTCAAATATAATAAGAAGTGCCCGAATGCCAGACTAATCCATTGGGTGGGCACTGTGCGCAAAATATTTTGCTGAATTGATTCGACAGAATGGCACAATTACAAAACTAAGAAACTCAAGGCGAATTTCGAACGGAATCACAAATAACTTATCGAATGCTTTTATTACAATGAAATGAACTGAAGATACCTAAATATATTGAACTCGTTTGTACATTAATTATAAATTTAGTGGATACATGTGGTGAATCAAAATGGAATATTTGTCAGAAAAGTTTTATGCCGCTTAGATCTTTATGCAAAAAGAGTCATTTATCAATTTAGTTATGTATGTACTCCATTACATTTTGTCATGTATATGAATGCAACGATGGTGGTACGCCAAGAAAAAAAATGAACTTCAACTTAAAAGAAAAAACTTCCAGTTTAAATATGCGACTTTAGAATAAGTGTAACCACATTCGATTCAAAAATCAATCCATTCTGAGCTCTCCTTTGGACCTTTCTATTTGCAAGCAATTGCGCACTCACTATTCACCTTATTCTTTTTTTTTGTTTCTACTTACAATACAGAGTTAAGGACATTTTTTCAATCAAACAATAAAGCTATGCCATTTGGAAGTATTGTAGCAAAAACAAACTTCCATTAAAAAGACCTTCTAGCATCAAAATGAATTTTTTAAATAATGGAAAGAATAACGTAATTTGTTACTCTGAAAAGTTGCTTTATTGAAATACAGTTTTGTAATCTACTTAGTTTCTCAATGATACTAATTTTTTTGTCAGCTTAAAACTAAGACCGAAAAGCAAGATTCATTCTCTACAAGCTAAAAGATGATGTCCATCTTAGTTATCAGGTGAAAATATTTTCACTACATCAATCTTTGATTCTGATGATCATACTATGCATGAAACCGACAAGATAATTGATCTATCACCCTATTCTCTGTGACCTCTTTCAATACACCTAACATTTGAAAAGCCTATTGAGAACTGAGATCATTCAAGTTGTGTCCTCAAAATACTAAAACCTATGTTTTTTGGTCAATAATCTTTTCATCATGCGATATGTCTTCTAAGAGAATAGATAATCAAAATAGCTCGAAAACTCCTTCAATTAATCTTCGTGATCCAACAGATGAGAAAATAATAACCAACTTCCATGAAACGACTGTTAATGACTCTATTATGACCAATGATATTTTTACTTGAATCCTCCTCAACGCATAACGTCTTTATTGAGATCATTGACTTTCCCACCGACTGAAGAAGAGCTGATACATTATATTTACTTTAGAATATCGTTCAGTTATTTTTGCTTCGTCTTCAGTAAGTTGAGATTTATTCAGAATAATTATTGCTTCAACTTGGGTAAAATCATGAATATTACGAATAAGATTACATACAAGTTGTCCTCCAACGAAGACAATAAATTTGACGTCACAATACTCATTCGTTTTTGCGATAATAAACTGATGACAGTCGTTGACTTTATCGAAAACATAAACCTTTGGAGCGAGACCTTGAATCTCTGAACTCATACTTCTAAATATGTTCAACATATGGACGTCATCATGGATTACGATTATACTGCATCGATCAGCTATAAATTGCGTTTGGTTTTTAATAGCTCTTTCAATTATTGTCCCGATTTCTTCCATGGAAATTTTTAATTGGCTAATATATTGTTTTGCGTTATACTGGCAGAAAGTCCTAATAAGAAAAAGATTTTACGTGATAAAAATTTCAAAATTCTCTAGCAAATAATTCGTTTTATAGATAGAAGTCATAAAACTAGGATCCTGTTGAAAGCTTCGACCTAAAAAAGCGTTATTTTCAGCCACCATCATTTCGTTGCATTTCAAAACTAAAATGTTTATTCAGTGATGATTATTTTTTCATTTAAGTCCATTCTCGTTTCAATAAAATTGAGAGAAAGAAAAGTATTCTTTCTACTTTAATAATTGTTGTTTACGTGGACATGTACTGAAACCTTGGAAAGACTCTATTTTGAGACATAAATATTACAATAATATTTATAATAATAACAGAAAAGAAGAAAATGATTCTCAAATTGTTTTTACTTTTACATAGCCTACGGTTTTCAAATCTATATGATAGAAAACTTCGTTGACATTGAGTTGATGTTTCACCTCATGTTATGTGTATATGCACATCAAAAATCCAGGGAAACATAATTTGGGTGTGGGTGTGGGTTTGTTGGCGTGACTGATCATCAAGCAATAACCAATATTGATGGCGGCAGGCACTTGCGCACCCCACCGGCACATGCAGACCTACAAATAAGCTATTTTCGTGTCGTCGTTAGAGAGTATATCGGAACCTGTCGCTCATCTGCTATGACTCGACTGCCGAATTCGATGAATTGCATTCGCTCAAGGAACTAGAACAAATAGCTGGCATGCACTTGCCGAGCAAACCACCTTGCTCGACAGATTTGAAACGGATACATAAGATCCTGTCTAATAGAATTATATTCAATTCATAAATCATTCGACTATCGGCAGACAGTCATATTTTCTCTGCATAATTACTAGAGAAAATTTTCAACTGCGCGATACCTTTTATAATGAAACCTACCGGTTTCAGGCTATTGACTATACTGATTATGCATGTGCGCGCGATAAACGCTCTTGGGCCTTCTCTTCAGAGCTATGCGCATTTTGCTTCAATTTTAGCATATGGTTGGATTTACACTAGCCAATCGAATGACAGTATTTCGTGATGAAATCTTCCAGAAGAACAGAGCCATTACTGAGCGAAATATCATAGAAATTTCAGCTAAAAAACATTTTCTTCCCGAGAGACTATGACCCAAAAACTAACTCATGTCTCACACGAAACCTAGAATGTTCTCCTTTTTCGGAATTTTAAGGCGACAAAAAGGTAAGATTCTTTTAGCTGAAATTTTCAGGATATTTTAGTCACAAATGGGCTTATTCGTAGGCAAACTCTCAGCCAGAAATATTGTCATTCGATTTTTTGGTATGTAACGCACCATCGGCTACAATTGTAGTGAAATACACATCATCCCGAAGAGAAGGTCTAACAGCGTTTTTTATGTTCATATTCGAAATCGACAAAGTCGATGGTCTATAACCCAGTAGGTTTCATCTAAAAAGCGATTGAATACTTCAAAATATACACTTCCCAGATCTTTGCGAGTATATATGTTTTGAAAGGACGTGTCTCCCGGAAGACTCGTTTTCGTGCAACAAAAAAGGGTAGATCGAGTAGCCAAATACATGCAGGACGGCAGAACATCATTCTAGCAATAAAATATATAATATATTTCCAGGTTTAGAACACTCACTTTCGTTTCTTCACTTTGCAGAAGATTGCGATCGTCGTCAAATGAAGAAACAAAAGCCCCTGACTCGCTATTTACGCAGGATAAAAAATGATTGTTTCTTTCTTTCTCACTATTTATATGAGAAATAAATTCGCTTTTTTTCAACAAAAAAAGAGCTCATCGACATTTAAGGGGGGTCGTGGATCATGGATTTTCGATTTTATAGTCTCATTCGATAGAGCACATTTTGTTACATATCTTCTCCAAATTTTATGTTATTCCGGTTCGTCTAGCGTCAGTTATAATCAGGTCAAGGTCAAATTTTTGATCAAAATTATGCTCCTGATTGTATCTAGTTTTGAACTGACTTCACTCATAAAGTAGAAATGAAATAAAACTTTTTCTATATGAATCAATAGAGAATTCTTCGCTCAATCTAACGCATTTTAAAAGAGCTTGAAAAAATGTTCTTTGTTTCTTATCTTATAGTGAATACTTTGACTGAAACAGCACTGTTTTGCTCTCCAATGATTTTCAATTATTTTTTACGATCATAAAGAACTTCAAAAATATTTGTTTACTTATCGTTTGATAGAGAATTTGAAGCGCTACAAAATGACATAAAAATATCATAGCAAAAGTAGGGTGTGGGTGTGGCTGATGAGAAAATTGAAACACTCACACAACACCCTCGATTAAATCAAACTTTTCAAAGGCCCTAATAAACAAAATATAGGATGTGGGTGTGGGTGTGTGAATGTTTCATTTCTCTTATCAGTCACACCCACATCCACATCCACACCCACACCCACACCCACACCCACACCCATACCCACACCCGCACCCACACCCACACCCACACCCTAAAATTGTAATTTGTTTCGCAAACTGAAAGGATAGAGTCTAGAAATGAAGATTCAGCTGTGTCTATGTGTAACGCTTGGCATAAATTATGAAAGTTCTGCAGCAGACGGTTGAGCTACTTCATCAAGTGTGTCTTCGGAATGAGAGTCACAGATTTATTGTGTTTATTCATCGTATGGGAATAAGTTTTCAAAATACTACAAGATTTTCGTTAGCGTAAAATTACGCGACATTCGAACCATCTTTTATCAGAGAATATATGCATAATATTAAACTAGATGGTATTCAAGTTTTAGTCGAATGCGAAATGCGATGCGAAGCAGGAATCTCCATCCAGGAAAAATCTGCAATTCAGAGAAATCTTGAATACTTTTTATGTCGACATAATGAAATTCATCACTGAGAAAACTCCATTCNAAATAAAAAAAACTCGCGACGGAATACATAAATGCTTCTGCTTCGCATCGCATTAATAATACATCTCGTTGACAATTCTTTTTTCTCCTCGATCTTGTTATTTGTAGAGCAGTGCGTTAATGTATTGACGGACGAGAATGTTGAAAAAATGGTAATTTTTTTAAAAATCTCCGCCACCGACTATGAAAATAACATTTTTAACAATTGTGCCAGCGACGTGACGTCGACGATGCCGATGCAAGACTTATACTTTTAGTTGGTGCACGGCAATTTCTGGAGAAAAGCAAAAAACTGTTTTCCTGTTGTGTTCTTTTTTCTCGATTTGGTTCTCATAATGCGTCGAGGAATGGCGCTTCGTCATTCAATTATTTAATTATGCTTCCTGCTTCACGAGGTTTATTTTCCTAGTTATGTGTTACTAAGAAGAAAAACTGAACAGATTGATTGCAAAGTCTGTTTTTTTCGGGTGGCTGGGGCGGGGGTAAAGTTATTTCATTTATTCTAATAGTTCTTGGAGATTTTATATGAATAATGGAATATAAATATTCTTTCATTTTGACTTCAAATTTTGCATTGTTATCCAGATGATGAGAGTTAGTCGGTCCAGTATATTATGTACGTGATACATTACCATAATGTCTAGGTAGCTTCCATTTAGATATGGCCCAAACCCAAACGGTTTGAGCTCGATGAAATGAAACTCGACTCGATGTTTAAACTCGAACTCGAAACTTGATTGAACTTGAACTCGAAGTTCAATACTCGAACTCGATCGAACTCGAAATTTTAATGTTCAATCTTGATTGAGTTCGAGTATTAAAACTTCGAGTTTCAATCTTAACGATCGAGCTCGAGTTTTGTAAATCAAGCTCAATTGCAAATTTAATTTACAGAGAACTGGAGGGTTATATGCAAGCAGAATGGATCCTATTCAAAAAAAACAGAAAACCCCCACTGTTCATACATCATTCGAAAGATAATTAACTCCAATATATTACTCCTTGAGGGTGTGGGGTGTGGGGTGGTGGGTGTTAGTCTTCTCTTAAACCACACCCACACCCACATCTAATTCGTAATTCTTAATTTAAGATAGCTGAATTGTTTGTGCAACTTCTGTTTAAAATTACTTTCAAATTTTAGACACTCGAATAACATTACTTGCGGCGTGCAGAAATGCGAGCGAAGCAAAAATGATTAAAAGACGAGCAAAATCGTATGCTTATAGTTGACACTTAAAATGCTTTTAGTCGATTTCAGTCTGACTTCAACTCTATTCTTTTCAATGGTGAGACTTGATTTGTTCAAAACGTTGAGTCCACCCTAGATCGAAACCGTTCCGCCACCTATGCCTATACCGTTGGATTTAAGAGCATTATTATATTTGTAGTACAATCCATTTTCAAGTACAAAACAAAAAGGAAATAAAAGACAGCGAAAATTAATTTGAAATGGTTAATATAGAAAATAGAAGATAAGATAACAGAACAGAATTTGAAAGAGAACTACGTAGAAGTCCTCGTACAGCTAAATCTTAAACCACTAAATCATTGATACAAAAGACAAATTTGGTCAAACCTTAACAGCACGACACATTATTATTAGCAGTTAAGCAAATAATAAAGAACTACAAACGGATATAATACGTATGGTAATAAAGATAGTACGATCAAAATATATAAAGATCGATGTGGTTTAGATGAAAATATCAGTATTCATATCATATGCATAAATTCATTATTTATTATATGAAAAAGAAACAAAGTGAAAAAATATGAACGAACTGCGGACGGGATCGATATACGACATACATAGAATATCTAAATTCTATATATATGCATATGCGATCTATAATAATCTTAACAACTCAAACAGCAGACATTATCGTTATTCTTGAGAACAATATATTTATCAAGTATTAGTATGAATAAAATGGGATTAATTACATTAACATCAGCACAACGCATTAGGTTAAAAGCGAATAATTTAAACCTAACCAAAAATAACATTCTTTTATTTTCTATCTCATTCGTTTTGTTAAATTGATCTAATAGATATTGATTTAAAATATTTTATTCGATGAAATGATATTTTAGGTATTTGAATATCTTATTATTCTAATTGACTAATTGTTTAGGAGATACAACCAATTATTTATTGGTAATAACTGATATAGATTTATTCTTTCGGCTGAACCGACGGCTATATGGTCAGTCAGCAATCGTCGTTCGTTCGTTCGCGTTCATTATAATAAATAACACGTGCCATCATTGATTAGAGAGTCTAACATAAAATTTAACCATAGGTTTTCGAAATCAAGGAATTCAAATCTATGATTTTTTTTCGAATTTCGAACTGAGGTTTTCTTGTAAGATACTACAGATAATAAATACGAGATAATTGATATTTGTTTTTAGTGATCATATTTTATGCAAATCATTATGTATATACCTATTTCGCTATATAATCAATAAGGAATTAATTAATTACTGAACCGAATATATTAGAAACGATTCGATTTTAGTCTCTGAAGCAGATGAATATGCAGTTTAGTCATTTTTCCACATTGCTCTACTGTGCCATTTCCCATAGCTCGATTCTGTTTATAATACGATAGTATTACATTGTAGATAAAGTTTTCAAAACATCCTTGAAGTATACTTTTACGTGAATCACTCATAAATAATTCAAGTGATATATGTTCTTTGAAGTTTTCTTCTCTATATTTGTGCTTAGGTTTTCAACGCAATAGTAAAATTAGTATCGTAATCAACAATCTGAAAGGCCTTAAAAACATATTCTATTGAGTCCATATAACTTAGCACTTGCGTTTGTTATTCACAGTATCATGAATGGAATTCTAATATGCAAGGGTAGAAAGAGTTTATTTATCAAAAGCACAGAACAAAACACATTTTTCTGTCGTGTTTAAACTAAAACATTAAATTGAATTGTTCCGAGAAAAATGACTGATTTCTTTAACGACCCAAACCACTACCTACTTCATAATTCTTAAAAGCACCCCATGTTTTGATGTCAGGACCTATAAAATTATAAAATAAAGCATTTCAAGCAAAGACAAAGTTGATTCATTTTACAATAGCGGCTTCCAGTCAGTTTATTAACACTTGGTTCACATCGTTCTTCATATTTTTCAGAGGCTTCTCGTTTTTGTTCTTCGCATTTGGTCTTTCCAGGATGAAAAATTGTTCTTTTCAAAAATTCTACAGCTACATCACGATCTAAATCAAAATAGTTGTATTCTACGAACTGTATTTATATGAAATTTTATTGAAAATAATAATAATAATTACCAACATCAAAATCATTCGCTTCAAGATTTGGTTTTGCCATGACCATCGTACAGTAAACCGTAATTATAATACACAAAAATAATAATTGTTTCATTGTTGTTTATTTTTATGTGAATGTAACCTCTAGAGAGAGAAAAAAAACATCCTGCATCTTTTTTGTTAATCTAACACATCAATGATACGTACCAACTATAAACTGATGTAGAAATTTATCAACACTTATGTATATAAAGATGCATAGCATAGATTGCTATTTTTCTTTTTATGCGCTGTTCCACGTAGGAGACATCGATGAATGATGACAGTATCTATTAGATTCAAAGCCTCTATTGTATGGAGTAGCAGTTTTGGTGCAACGATATCAAATAGATGGCAAAACTCAAGATGCAATGCAAGTTTCAAGTGACGAAAGAAGCAAGCTATGAGTAGATAATATGATGGATGGCTAGAAGAAGAGTATAAAAAGCACGTGTATTGTATGTTTTATTTTGCAATATCAAGCGAATTCATTTGCCTATGTCACTATGATTATTCATAGAAGGCATATTTTTTTAAAGTCGACCGAGAAAAATAGAGTGAATGATGCAAGTCATACGAGTGAGCTTGCTATAATTTTCTCTCACTTACCTTAAATTTTTATCAGACAAAGAACTAGAGGGTGCTGAGGTCATTGAGTATGAATCTGGTTAAAAAGAATTTACTTAATTTTTTCATAAATCTAAATATTATTGAAAAAAGGAATCATGCTAACGATTTTTCTTGTGCCATTAATGAAGTAGATTCATCATTAGAGTTGTCATTTTAAGTACAACTTTTCATAGAACCATTTCGAAATCTGTTCAAGGCTATATTGATTTACCTTTCACATGTCAGGGGCGGCTAGTGCTGTTTGTTTTAAAATTGTAGATAATGAAAATAGTTTGATGCAAACTGTTACAAAGCTCCAAAAACTATTTTCATTTTTCTCGAATCTGGAATATTCGATTGAACAGCAGATGGGTCGTAGGAGACGCCTATCAAAACATGAATACTAGTAACTAAAAGTTATTATATTTATCTATTCAATAGTTTATTCATAATAAAAAGAAAAGAAACAATGTTAGATGTATTAAAGGATGCCTCGCTGGAAATCGAAACTTGAATATCAAATTTTAAAAAAACGCTTTGCGTTACTGTTTAACAATTTTCTACATTTATCTAAATCAGTATCGAATGTTTTTAATATTAGTTCTCCCGGTTTACTTTCACCGAGAGGAAATGGACAATCGGATCCAAGCATGATACAATCTTCGTTCATTGTTTCCACAAGATATTTCAATGCACGAGAATCATGAACAAGTGAATCAACACAAAACCGGCCGATGTAAGATGATGGCAATTTACTATTTTTATACGCACATAAATCTGGTCGGCATTCATGACCATGATCAATACGACCGACTGTAAAGGGAAATGAGCCACCGCCTAAAAAATACAGAACTACAATATGAAATCGACTTCTCATTCATTTATTTACCATGAGCAAATGCTAAGCGAAGTTTTGGATATTTTTCTAAAACACCACCCATTAAAATTGAACATATAGCCGATGTTGTTTCAAAAGGCATTCTATTGATTTCGAAAGAACAAAATTAATAGTCGTTTGCTGAAAAATATTATTTCCTACCCACATAACCATGGCATCCAATAGTCATCGAAACGTTCTCCTTTCGGCATATCCCAAGGGTGAACAAATACGCAAGCATCGAGCTTTTCAACTTCATACCAAAATTGATCAAGCTCTGCACAATCTAAATTCCATTGATTAACATGTGTACCTATCTGGACACCTTTTAAACCTAATTCATTAACGCATCGCCGAAGTTCATTAATAGCTAGTTCAGGCGCTTGTAATGGTACTGTGCCAAGACCAATAAAACGTGTTGGATGTTGTCGACAAATCGATGCTATATGATCATTTAATTCACGAGAAATTGCAAGAGCGCCTTCGGCGTCTTTCGAAGAATAATTAAATAGAACTGGTATTGTTGAAAGTACTTGCATATCCGTTTTGTTTTCATCCATTTCACGAAGACGAACATTAATATCAAAGCAATTTGGTTCAATTGTTCGAAAAAAATTTCCATTATGAAACATATCCAATCGAGGATCACCCTCGGCATGTGGTCGTAATTCAAGATATTTTTGAGCATTGGCACTTAGTGAAGATGGTAAAATGTGGGTGTGTATATCAATACGAGCCAATGGCGATGTCATATCCATGATGCAAGAAAAAAAAAGGTGATTTGGTTTTGCTTGTAAATAATAACGAGAGTGATAAATCAAGCGTAGCAAATGTATTACAAAAACAGCAAAAAAACTGCGGAGAAAAAAAATATCTAGATCAAACGTATGTGTTTGAGTGACTATCTAAAGAAATGTATTGATTTTTAGTAAAAGGTTATGAATTTTTGTTCTTGAACGAAAGAAGTCAGTAAGTTTTCTAGTTGAAGATATTGCCATCCGTACCGAAAAGGCTAATTTTATTTGTTAACAAGTTCAAAATAAATGTATAATGTTTTATAGATATTGAATAGATTGTTAAAACTAGTTATCTAAAGGACTACTAATGTATATTTTATTTATATGACAAGAATTGCAAGATAAAAACTGACTATTTTTTATTTGGTCTTATTGTTTTAGTAGGTAATCACTGAAAAATATCTCTGAAAAGCTACACACATGTCTTTTATTTGATAACAGTTGAAAAATCGACGTTTCCTTTTTTTTTTATCGTAATGGTATTTATGGATCATCCACAATAATTTGATTCTCTCATTTCAAGTATCAACTTCTCATAGAGTCAGGATTTATTGAAAGTAATGTATTGTGAAAGATGAACCTAAAGTCTGATGTTACATCTAAATAATGAGATTGACACACTTTTATCATAGTTCTAATTTAGATTGACAAAAACTTTGCTTAATTTACTCGCCATGTAGTGATCAATCTAACAAATAATTCGTCTAACTAAGAGTAGAATACTGCTATAATTATTTACAGAATCATTCATGTAGCATGAAAGCTGAGACTCGTTTTTAGGCAATACCATTATTTTTTCATACAATCAAGAAATTGGCAAAGATTTCATTGATTTACAAGTATTTATTTCGAATGGATTATCAATCTATAAAAGTTTCTATGCAATGCCATTTTTGAATTTCGTTGATATTTAAAATAATCTACAAGAAGCGAGAAAACAATTTCTCTAGTTTAAATTAAATATCATTATTTCGTTTTTTTTCTTCTTTGTTTAAATGTACAAAAGAAAACCAAACAGAGAGGAAATTACAAATATTTAATACGGATAAGGTTCATCAGGTGGTGGCGGCGGTGGCTGTAGAATACTTTGATAATATGAATTTTGATTAACGGATGCGTATGATGGTGGAGTATTTGTTGTCGTGCCAGTCGTGTTATTTGTGCGCATAGTTGAAAACGGATATGTATAAGGTTGCATTTGTGGTTGCATTGCATTTTGTGCAATTCGATCATTATTCTGAAGATATGATTGTTGTTGATATTCTGGCCAAAACCCACTATGATCTTGTTGAGCACGAGTCGTCTGTACCATCTAGAAACAAACAAAAATTAAACTCTATGAAACAGATAGGTTCTGACGGGCGACGTCTCATTCTACAAACTAAAAATTAGTCTCAACATTTTATTATTCTCTTGTATTCATCGATTTCTAAATAAGTATGGAGTAGTTCTCTCTGTGTTGTTTTTCGAAATTTTCGAGATCTAATAATAACTGTATTATGAGCAACATACGTTCTCGTATTGGCTTTGCACTGCTGCATAATATTGTTCATATGGATTCGCAAATGATTGTTGGAATTGCTGATTTGCATAGACTGGCCCATATGGACCGTACGAGAATTGCATTTGAGCTTTTCTTTCTTCTTCTTCTCGTTTACGTTTTAAATCATCCCAACGAATACGTTTTGAAAGAAGACTTCCTAGAGGCTTTTGTTTTTGTCGGCGAAGAGCTATTTCTTCTGATGTTTCATTCTGATAAATTGGACAGAATTCTTGTCGTCGTTCGTTTCTCAGTGTATCAACGACTTCTGGAAACGATGTTGCAAGTGCACTTGGAAAAAGTAATTTTTTTGCAGCAGCGACTTTTTTTCGTTGCTCATCTTCATCAGAATCTTGATCGGTTGCGACAGTTGAAGCTTGATCGAGCAGCTTGCGAATTGGCTTTGATTGAGTCGATTCTGGATTTTGATTCGTTGTTGATGCAGATACAGTTGCCTTTTTATTAGTAGTAGAAAAGCTACAGTAACTGGTATTTTTTTCATTGAATAAGATATCTTGATAATGGGTAGCAGTTTTAATTATTTTCGATGGTTTAGGTTTTGATTCAACGGTATGCTGCGATGATATTGGATGATTAGAATGAATTTCTTCAGTTGTCTTTTGTTTTTTAGATGGATTGGACGATTCAGCAACTGAATCTGTGTTGTTTTCGACATTTACATCGAGTAGACTTGGTTGTTCTGTTCGAGTTGAGGAACTATCGGGCGTATTATCAATGGTTTTTTTCTGTTCTTCTTCTTCTTGTTCCATATTTATTTATCTAGAAAGATATTAATTAATGTTTAGAAAACAAATGCGATGCTTTCTATGCTGCTGATTGTTTGGACGTAACTTTTACCAAATATAGAGCAAACACACGTTGAACTGGTACATAACCATGCACCTCTGAAATTGAACGAGCATTCTTTCACTGCATAGATCCAATTCTTTTAAGATTTTCTTCGTAAATGTAGGAATAGAATTTCATTTCGAATAGTTTTCTCATAAGTAAAAGTATCCATTCTGGAAAAGAGTTGATTTTTCAGAAAAAATGAAAATTTATCTTTTTTTTGTACATTAGTCGTTTACAATAGTTAAAATAAAACAACAATCTAAGCATGACTCGGTGAGTTTGAAAGTGTAGGAACAACTTCATTATCTATTTTTTCTCAATCATACGAATTTGTCATATGGTTACGCAGTATCTTTATTGATGTGACAATAGACAAATTCATTAATCGAATATAATTTCATCATCTGAATCATTGTTTGCGTGCTATTAGCTGAGACGAAATAGATTTAATGCCAAAGTTCCATATGGTTAATTATTTATTGACAAGCAATCCTGTCATCTCCAATCCGACTCCTATCTAATAATACCAGATGTAATATTTATAGATTCGCAAATTCTAACCGATAGTATAATATGTCATCATTCGTATTGTATTAATCGATTTTAACTAAATATGAAAAGTTCCATAAAGATTTCATATACTCCAAAAAGAAATCATTTTCATAATAAATATTAACATAACAGAAAGCAATTGTTGTTTACCTCAAATAAACATATATTAATCCATCATAAGTCTGTCTCAGATTGAATTTTTGCATATCTATTATCATAACTAAAAACATAATCTCGTTGCTTTCTTTGTTCATCGAAATTTTTATATTCTAGAATCTATAATAAATATTCTTCATATTTTATCAAATAAAAACATACTTCAATTATTTATTTAAGAATAGATAGTATCAAATGAAATCAATATTTTTCTAGGATATTAACATCTACAAATTACGTCGATATTGATTGCCATAGAAATATATTTTAATAATCAATTATTGCATACATGTACATATATATTTATATCTATATTTATATATTGGCAAATTACGGACGAAAACAGACAAAAGAAAATGAAACGCAAGGATTCTGAGCGTTGGCTGAGAAGTACTTTTTACAATACTGATAAATTAAAAACAAAAACTGAAGAAAGAAAAACCACAGATAATCGATCTTATTTGAGACGTTGAGTTATATTAGCCAGAGCAACGGCAAAAGCTTGTATTGGCGAAAAAGGCCATTCAAAATCGAGTGTATAACAATTATTTTCAATACGACCAAATTGAATAACCTTACAGAAAAAGATTAAATTCAAAATTTCAGTTGTTTTATTATTAAGATTTTATTACTTGTTTGCCTTTAAATTCAATTTGAAAATTTTTTGCTGATTCAAGTGTTACACGACCGCCAAAATCTAACTGATACACTTGCGACTGTTCGTTCCACAAACTAGAACAAAAAAAGTAAAATTGACTTAGATAGCTTTAAAATAATTGAAAATCTTACGGTGGTCGATTTTGCATAACATAATACGATGTATCAGTTTGATCGTCCATTTGTTCAATGTCTGATGAAAGTGAAAGTGTTGCTACGGAATCATTAATTCCACTTGTGCATGTCATCATACGATGTCTTGGATTTAAATATTTCTAAAAATATCAAATTGTATTACACATTAATTAAAAAGTATTTTTGAACATTCAATAATTTCCTTTCTCTGATTCTTTAAGGTTTCAATGACTATTGATTATAGATATGAAATTATAGCACTACAAAAAAGTATTTGAATTAGAAACAGGTGGATTATGTAATTCCTTCGGATTCTAGTCTTGATTGCGACTGAAAACCGAACGCTTCTTTCATGATTATTCATAAAACTACAATCAATACTGATGGTTAAAACCAGCTTGTTTCTTATCGTGTTAACATTGATCCATCTAATTACTTTCTCTGTCACTTCGCATAGCATTCGATCGTACTCACTTTTCGAGATTCATGTTTAGTCGTTGTCATTTTTTCTTTAGATAATGTTTCTACATGTTTACTAAGATTTTTAATTTCGCCATCATCATCATCGTCATCATCAATATCATCGTTATCCGTATTTACATGTTGTTCTCCGTTTGATGTTTGCTGTTGTAAAGATGAAACAGAAAAAAATTGCTCAGCGGTTGACGAGTTTAAACCAGGTTGTTGTTGTTGTTGTTGACATTGCTGTGATTGATGTGAAAATTTCTTTGTTTGGTTTAATGTTGGATCACTGAAACTTAATTTTTTCTGTTGATTACTATTGAATGGATGCAAATTACGATACGTCTCAGGTTCAAAACAACTTTCAGGAACATGAGAAACTGTGCTCGTCAGCGCATGATGATTTGGATTTTCATTACTATCATAACCGGATGAATCATCAAGTAACAATGTTGTTGTTGCACTAGCCGTTGATGCATCAATATTATTTGTCATCGATGGTACAGTTGTTGGTGGTGAACGATGACGATGATGGAATTGAGAATTTGTTAGTGTTGTAAAAGATGCTCGAGCGAACTTCGGTGATATGGGTTGTTTCAGTTGAATACATGGTGGTGATATAGGACGAATGAAATTAGCTATTGAAGCTGCCGGAGACGTTGAACGACTTAGATTAATCGGTGATGTTGACGAAGAATTTGCAGCTGATGAATCGAAATGAGGATTAGCTCGGTGATGAACAACGGTCGTTGCTATAGATGTACGTTGTAAACGATGAGATGATCTATATTTGGGTTTTGTTTGACATGAACGTCTAGATTCATGGATAGACGACAACGGAGGTTGCTGATAAAGTAGTAAACTCGAACGAACATTTGATAATTGTGGAGACATCGGAGCAATAGGAATACTAGATGAATGTTGTTTATCACTATCGATTATGTCATCGATTTTAGTTCGTTTTATTTTACGACCGGTCGAATTTATTATTTCCTTATGTCTTGTCTTGTTGATTGCTTGTTGTCTTTGTCTACGAATGTCATCGTTATTCGCTACTCTAACAGTCATTTGACGAGGTTGTAAATGTAAAAATGAAGTTTTATATGTTACACTGCCTAAGATATCGGGTAGGTAATTTGAATGACCATAAAATTTAAAACGTGTGCCCCATATATTAGCTCCTATGGTACACAATTTGTTGTTCTAGAAAAGAAAAATAGATGCTCAGTAAAATAAAATTAGCTTAAAATATTGCACAATAAACTTTTCTGCGATCTCAAACTATCTTGAGGATACTCTTATTTAATTCAAAAGAAAGAGTTTTCTTTATAAAAGCAACATATCTTGAAGAGATATTCTTAATAACCGAGAAGACAATGCTGAATCACATTACGCCGGCTTGATTCTTTAAAGTTGATCATACTTTGATCTAAATATACTACTGTTCTTTATGACATCAAGCTGACATTTTGATTGCATGCTTGTGACATTAGATCGTAATCTTAAAGATTGATTAGCTCTCTGCTGAGGTTCCCGCGTTTTATAGTTATTATTCAGATGCCATCGAATAGATCGGAGGAACTATTTTTCATTCAATTTCTCGTACGAATATCCCTAGAAAGAATTGTTTCAATAGTTGAGATATTGTGTGCTCATTGCGAATTTCATTTTATATCGCAAATGTTGATTTATTTTATAGTAAAATAGACTTTTTTCACGTTAAAATTGATTAATCTGCTTGAACGTTTCATTAGTAACTTTTCATGAAACAACAAGTCTGTTCTAAAAGTTGAAGAATCACAAAATCGCGTGGGCTCATGTTGGCACAGCCCCTGGCGTTTGCGCGACAAGCATATGGGGCTAAATTTCGCGCTTGACAAAATCACTAGTAGATGATGAATTAGTAAAATGATAAAATAGAACGTTTTTGGCGTAAATCTCTCGGCTATGTGGGCGTTTATGAATCACAACTTAAGCACATGCGATCTTAGAGGACGAATATTGTTACTTCCTATCAGCGATTAGCATCGCATTCATGTCTGCAAAATATCAGCTTAGTACTCTAGATAGTGGTAGCATCTCCTTGGAGTGACTATTCTTATCGTCGATTCGATGTGTTGCTCTTAAAACTCTAGTGATTATGAACGTTAGGGTTTGAAGAAAAGAAAACTTTTAGTTATTTAGATTATTTACTTTGTTTGTTGTCTTTTTCCTTGATTGTTTTTCTTGTGTATCACTCATATTTCCATCATATTCTTCATCGGAATCATTTTCTGAGCTACAACCAGAACTACTTTTTGGAGCTATTAAATTTGCATTACCATGATGCACATTTGTCTCAGCAACATAAATTGAATTTCGATTACTAATTAAACTTGAACGATTAGGACTACTATTATTATTATTTACAAATTTTGCTGGTAGAATATTTGATGTATTATGCAAAGTATTAGATTGTCGTCTTAATAATAGAAAAGATTGCTTTGCTGATAATTTTGATGTATGAACTTTGGATGATGAGGACGATGATAATGATAGTTCATTGGTTCTCATTTGTGGATCAAAAATAATAAAATCCGGACAAATTTTTGATGTACGTTTAGCAGTTAATAATGGTATAAGACCACCAAGATATTCTAAATATAAGACGTAAATAGCGCCAGATAAATTATTAGTTGTGCGTGTCGGTGAAACATTGTCGATATCATGATCAATACGCTTCATTGTGCATTGTAAACGAAGATGAGATTTCAATGGATTACATACAAATGAACGTATATTTTTTGGGTCAGGTAAAAAGCTCTTGATTGTTGAACGAAAATACTTTAAAAGATTTTCTTTTAAATTATTTGGTAAATAAAGTTTATCGAAATTTTGTAACGAGTTATTTAATAAATTCTGTTTGATGCTCATCTGACATATTGTGAACATGGACGGTAGAGGCTTTTGAATTATCCAAATGGTATAAACAAATGAACCACACGCAACAAAAACGATTTCTAGACGAGGAAACCAAATGAGAAAAACAATTTAATGTAAATTTACACTTACCATTTCCATGTGCCCAACACAAAGCAGATAATGGTTGAGTCTAGAAAAGGAAATAGCTATTCATTATCCATCGAAATGCAATGAGAGAGAGTTTTGGAAATATTTCCTTCCGCTTGGGAAATTCTATGTCATATGAGATTAGGAATAGAAAACAACTGTAGAGAAAACCGTTGCAAACTGATGATTACTGTTCATTTGGTACGGCACGCATAAAAATAAGAATGTAATTCGAGGTATTTTTTACTGAAAATCTATTCTATACATTGTTATGTTAAACAGAAATTTCTTCCTTGATTGATCTTTCTGTAATTTTTTCATGAGATCTTTGGCTTTGTGTGTTCTATTGGGAATTCCGTATTCCATGAAAGAAACATTCCTTTGTAAATACCGCCCTATCGGCTAAAATTTTCAGAGAAACGATTATATTTGTGTAGAAAAGTCTCGCAAAGTCTGATGTATTTCTAATAACTAATAATTGATCGAGTTCGAATACAAAAGTAGTTTTGAACTTGGAACGATTCCATCTTAATATGCCCTCAAAATTATAGCTATATACATCTCGGTACAATTAAATGGCATTCAGACTTAATGCACCAATCGATATTACTGGGATTCGCAGACACTTAAAATATAGTCTTTTCATGTAAATAATAAAAGAGCATGACTGTCATATTATAATTAAGCATACTCTATTAGTGTAGAGTAGAGTATATTTAGAAAATGGGTTGTTATTGTGTACATATCACAACGTGATAGCACTTGCTCAAATCTGCGCGAACCCCTGATGATCATGTCAAAGTTAATGATTGCATTTTACGAGAGAAAGATTCTAGATATTTCTTTTCATGTATTTTTCTGGTGGTATTTCGCAATAAAATTGTTAACTTTGCTTCATTATAAATCTTAGTCTCGTGATGTCTATGTGATATTTTATTGATTGATCTAGATTTCTGGAATTACTCATTGTTTTGTATAGACTCTATTATCTATCATAAACATTTGCAGACAAGACAAGTCGCGCTCATCAAATCAATATTAAGTGACTAAAATAATTTATGTAACTATAGAAAGATTTCTGTTTTACACAAACCATTTGTGGAAGATGAGCACGATGTAGAAATTCTCCTCGACGATTATAAAATATAATTTCATTTATATAATTTGTATCGTTTAAATGCTTATGACCACCAACAGCAAGTATTTCATTTGATGTCGACCAGTCCATTTTAATATCTATTTAAATAAATAAAAATTATCTCGGTTTTTTGTTTGTTCGGCTAAAATCTTACTTTGAAGTTCTGTATTAACACTAATCGGAGATCGATCTTGATAGTTCTGAAGAAAAAGTATCTGTCCATTTTCCAGACTACATGCAAGAATATAATCATCATTATTAAATTTTGTTGCATCTAAATAATAAAACATTGCTTTCATTGAGCAAATAAAATTTTAAAATTATTTACTATTATCCGGCGCTTCTGGATAGAATTTATTACAGGAGTAAATCAATTGTCGAATAGATTGAGTTGATATTGGTAACATTTCTGTTGTATTACCATGATGATCCATTACAATTAATTGTCCTGATGTTGTACCAAGAATAGCACTAAGGAAATGAAATTTATCTTCTATACTTTCTTGTTTCTGTTTTATCTTACTGTGAAACATCAGGCATCCATGTAACAGCGGAAACTTTTGCTTGAGGAACATTTAAAACTGTTGACCAATAACGTTGTCCTGTAACTGAACCGGCAAGTATAAAGCCATCTTCATAACAAATAATTGTCATACGTCCATCATGTGACCATGCCATAGCAGTCACCGGCTGACTGCGATCATTAATCAATTCTAATGACCAACGATTATCATGTTTAACCCAAACAAAAATTACACCTTTTTCATCAATAGTTGCTAATTTTTGATATGGAATATTCCATGAAACAAGACGAATTTCTGTACGATGTGCACGTAAATTAAAATTTGTACGATCAGGTTCAATTGCAGTTTCATCAGACTTTACAGATGTATAAGTCACACTAATGATATGATTTGTATTACCTGTTGCTAGCCAACCTTCGTGGAAATTGGTTGATCGATTCGTATTATTATCATCATTATTTAATAATGGTGATGACTTTGGAATGCCACTCATCCATGATAATGATTGAATAATGGAATCTGTGCGAGCTATATTCGACAATTCAATATAGGCGTGCATTTTAGTGCTTCTACAACATTTTTCTCCTTTAAGATATAAAAAATAATGTCTGAAAAAAAAAGCAGAATGATTATCGAACTATTTTTTGTGCTGATTATGATGTAGTAAAACGTTGCTTTGATTGAATCGGCTGCTAAGGGTATATAAATGTGTCTGAAGAAAAAGTGACAGATAAGAACAAAAAAGAAACAATTCATTGATTCTATTCGTATGAAAATAGTTTAATTGACAATTGCTATTTACGATTCATTTTCTTCAGTTTATATGGGTTTCTTGTCGAGATGAGTTTGACACAAACATAGAAAACTAGAACGTCTAGAATGAAAACAACAACTACAACAACAACAACATCAGCGATAATAAGAGCATAAAGATGATGCCGTCGGCAACATTGGACTGTTTCTTATCTAACGGATTTTGATGCACGCCTGTAGTCTTGTTCTATTCTGTCTATCATTCTCGTTTACAGCCTTCGGAAACTATTACTGTGAAAGAAAAACGGAAAAGAGAAATGAAGAGAACGAGTAATCTACTTGGGTATAGAAATAAAAAGAGAGAGAGAGAGAGAGAGAGAGGAAAAAAAAGATTTTCATACGCTCTTGAATACAAATTTACAGTTAATTCTATTCAACGTTACTAGTAGTAGTAGCAGTAGTCAAATATGCATGACTATTAAATTAAAAACTAATCGAATAGCATGTTTATTCGAGAAAAAATATTGTTTATTTCTTTAATTTTATTTAAAACGAACAGTTGATGGGGTTAATTCGACAGAAAACCGAAGTATGTATGAATGAGATATTTATCAATGCAATGAGATTCTAAATAGCCAACTAGAAAAATAAACATTATCGTAATTTTAAAGCATAACTAAGAAAGAAAGAAAAAAGATACACATACTCATCTAGATTTTTACTTATGTGCATTGGTTTTTGAAACAACGAATCGTCCAGAAATATGGATAATAGTAATGTAATATGAAAAACAAAACTAATTGCGACATCTATTGATTGAAACGTCCATCAAACTTATATGTCAATTATTCGCCAGATAGTTGCTATCGATTTCATAAGTAAATGAAAATATACATATTCATCAAACTAGTGAAAATATTTGAATAACAGTTTTATTTATATTCTATAAAATATTTCTTTAAATAATTATGGCGATTAGAATAGATTCAGTCAAAACAGTACAAAACAAAAAAGATGAATGCTCATTTATTTATGCTATGTTACAACCACAAAACCATTGTATTGTGATGCAGGAAAATTGGTAGATGGAATCGGATTACTAGTTTGAGATTGCATAAATGTATGAGTTTGATGGCGAAGCCAATCATCTTTGAAAACGTGAATAGTTAAAATTTGAACAACATTAGCCAATCTATTCCAGACATGAGCTAAGACCAATTGTTCATCGGCATCTCGTCTAAATAGAAAAAGTTTACTTTTATTGAGGGTGAACCAGAAAAGAAACCCTTTTTGGAAAACAATAGAGTTGATTTTCATTCTGTCGACTATTGCGAAAGTCATTTGTTTTGTGTATATGAAGATCATACCAACAACTATTTACTATTTGCAAATTTATTGTTCAAAGCTCATGCTATTCTTTGTGTACTGTTGTGAATATTTTTTAAAGAAAACTTCTGATTATTATTTAATCTAATATCAGAGGTAACAACTGAGTATATTTTCGGAAAGAGTAAAGAATTCTGAATCTAAAGATTTGTTTTCTAGTGATCAAACATTGATCAAATGTATTGTCCGAAGACGCTTTAATTTTTATCTGTAGATAAATTGTATTAAAGAAATGTACTAGTTTGAACTAAGGGAAAAATTAAATATACGCGGTCAATGCTCTCCAGACGAACTGATGCAATCCTATGCGTGATAATCTACAATTCAGTGCGCATTGTAGCAAGAACAATTAACATAGCATAAAAGCTCGGCATCCTATTCTTAACTGTTATTAAAGATATGCTGCATATAAATGTTTCAAGCCTTCGCAAAATCCGGACAAAAGACAGTTCTTACTATTTTAAAAATTACGAATCTATTTTTAATAATAATATGCGTTTATCATCTAGATTTGAATAAGTACATGATTAATATTCATATCGTTCTTAAAAGAATAAGATATTAAGCCTGATATAATAACTCTACTAGGATAGTTTTTCTTTGTCTCAAACTTATTCAAATCACTCTTGACATAGCTTGTAGAAGACTGACATCTGAGCTCTACAATGTTTGAGTGAAAATAAGTGAACTTTCTTTTTCTAATCTGCTCACGCGATTACGAGCATCATGGCAAAGATCATATATTGTGCAATTCTTTTGCAAAATGTCAAATTATAAGACGAACAATTTTTTTCTCTTACCGACAACGAACATGTAACGATCCAACCAATGTGCCAAATGATAAAGCCCAAAAATGTTCATTTCGTAATTCCAAAACTCCATCAAGTCTCGATGCTTCGTGTAAACATTTATCTAATTGTCCAATCATGTGTGATGGTGTTGTTTGTAATAAGATTTTTCCACTGTAGATTGCCATAGGTACCATTGTTCCAAATGTCATAAAAGCAATGAGTAACGATGCTAATGTATCAACGAAATTTCCATAGCTCATTCTTAAAAGAAATAAGTCCGACAAAACAATAGCTAAATCACACCAGCCAAGCAATGCAAATGGATTGATACGTGGTAAAAGAAGACGACTTAAGCCAGGTATATAGTGGCAAAGATTTTGAAACATGTCACTAACATGTTCTTGTAACCAACTGGATGAACTAGCTGCTATAACATGATCGAACGATGGATTCGGTACAAAATAAACAGCAATAAGGTGCATTACAAATGTTATGAGAGATGCTGGCATTAAATATTCAGTATCGATTGGCTCATTTTCAAGAAAATTTTCAATAGATTCTTTAAGAATAAAAAATGCTCCAAGTATGGAAAGCATTGTCGATGTAAATACAGCTAGGACTTCAAAACGAGCTGTACCATAGGAAAATGTTGCGAGCGTTTGTGATGGAATAAAAAGTGATGTTGAACTGTCGTTCTTTGCCGATTGAAGTTTATGATCGTTTTTCTTAGTACGAGTTTCAGTATTCCATATTGTAAGAAGTCCAGTACCGATGAAAAGCAAATCAAATATACATAAGGAACAAAATGCTTGCAAAGCCATGGAATTAGTTTGACCAGCCATCGTAAACACAACAACACAAGAGGCCAGTGTTGCCAATGTTATGATCACTGCACTTCGCGAATGTGAAGCTTTAAGGAGATAATAAAGGGATTTTAGAATTGATAATGGTGCACTCATGATTGCAGCAATAATCTAGAAAAGTTGTTTTGATGAGATTGAAATCATATGTAAAAACAAAATATCATAGCAGAAAAAAAAGAAAATTTTTTTAGCAATAATAAAAATATTTCACTTCACTTGAAACTTACATATCAATGGAAAGTGTGCAAATCAACTTCACTTATTCTAAGAGCTTTTATTTTTATCAAGGCACTGATTACTTGTGGACGAAGTGTTTCCGACGTGCTGTCATCAATTCTTAAAACTCATCATTGCCAGGTATGGCACTTAAAATATGCTTACGATTACTAGCTATTCAACTGCAGAGTCGAATTCAAATAGAATATTTATTTCAAGTCTAGTATGAAGAAACATTATTATTTATATGTTTAACAATTTAGAAAATGATCTATTGTTCAGGTCTGTTCCGAAGTTGAAAGTGTAAAACGAAACATTATGCTTCATTAAAGTGAAGTCTCAATCTTTTGTCTCTAACTAAAATAATATCATAGATATGAACATCAAACGGAATACTCGAAATCACTCATATTGTATTTAATCTATTTTTAGTCTTAAAAATTTAGTTCAATCTTAAATTTAAAGGTCACCTATAAACGAATGAAACTCGGAACGATGAAAGAAAACAACATTTAAAATATTGTTCTCGTAATATATTTTAGAAAAAAATTTAATAAAAACGAGTAGCTGGATCAATATTCAATAACTTTGTATTGTTAAAATGTTGATTTTGGTCGTTGTCTAAGATATTCTGCAATTCTTGGTTGCTTTTCGACTTCAGTACGATTTTGTTTTAACCAAGAAAAATTATTTAAGCAAGTTTCATTTGAATACAGCATAGTCTCCATCATATCATAAAAATACAAATCTGCCCACGTTAAATTCTTACTGACAAAAAATTGACCACCATCACCATATAATTTACCCAGAATTTCAAGATTTTGTAGATGTCTAGGCAGTTGAGTAGTAAAGAATGGTTCTAGGATTTCTTTTCGTTTCGTTTCATTTGATTCTCGACGAAGTGGCATAAATTTTAACATTGCGTCATTCATTGTATCAATCACAGCATCGACTTTTGCTTGGTCGAAATTGTCTCTACCAGCTAATTGAAATTGTTTAGCGAGAAAACGTGCAATTGATATTGATTGTGGTAATTTCGTTCCATTATATTCCAGAACAGGTACTTGCCCTAGAGGCATTTTATTTTTATTGGATAGCCAATCGTTGCGTTCAATACGAACATCTTCAAATTTTTGACCAGCAGCTGCAAATATTAAACGTGAAACTTCAGCTCGAGCACGAATATTTAAGTAAAAAAGTTTGTATGTAGACGTAGCCATGAATATTATCTGAAATGAATATCAAAAGATGAAAGAGAGATGATTGTAATATTCGTGTGATAATAATTGTCTCTACTGAAATTATCTAATAGTTCAAAAATTGAAATGAAATCTCCAGTTTATTTCATGGATTGTTTTTCATAACTTAATAACTTTAAGCAGCATTCTCTTTGAAACAGCTGTTTTTTTATTGGCAAAAACTGCTTTTCAATGGCATTCTACAAATGAAAATATGAGATTAGAAACAGAAAATATGTATTCTAACGTACGTTGGTAGTTGTTATTTTTTTTTTTTGTAGAACAATAACTCATCGTCCCTGAACATTTTTATTACGAATGATTTTCTAACTTTTGAGTTACGAAAACAAACAACAAAGATTCACTACTGAAAGAAATCTCATCACTATCGTACGTCAATAGTTATCTATCGTGTCTGTTTTTTTTTGAACAAGAGAAAGAGAAAATAAAAACTATAGTGTACTTTTTAAATTATAATAACCTTGGATACTCTCATTCGATCCTAGTAAAGAATCCTAGCGGTACTCACTGCTGGCACCTGTCTACGTATGTTAGAACACACTGTATTTTATATCAATTATCTTATTGGTACTCTGATGACGAACCTCTCATACTACTGTAGATGGCACTTCTTTCATTTGAAAATAAAGAATTTCTTCCCAATGTGTTTCTATTGAATAAATTAAAATTTTCAATTATTTTAACAAAATGAGGAAAAACTACGCAAAAATCCTTGGAAGAAAAACCAAATAACATTTCTCTTATCTTAATGTTATTCTATCCAATAGTTGATTACCAACACTCATAGCCATTTAAAAGAGAACGATCAATCAGTTGGCTCCGCAAACAAAAGGTACAATAGTTGTTCATGACCTTCATTATTCATCATCAATGGCGCGTAATTTTTTTCTAATAAAAAAACACTTTTCTATTTTAGATTATAATGCGAATCACTATAGTAATATTATTAGTTTGCCTATTAAATATCTCAATATTAAAAGCAGATGACGATGATATTGATGAAGAAATAACTATTGACGATGCTCCAGGAGCAGCAGCAAATATTGAAAAAACTAATGTACCATTAATGAAATCTACATCGTCAAATATTTATTTTGAAGAACAATTTCAAGACAAATCAAAATGGCCACGTTGGGTTAAATCCCAAGCAAAAAAGGATGGTGTCGAAGAAATATTAGCAAAATATGATGGTGAATGGGGCTTTGAAGTGCCTCAATCATCTGCTTACAGTGATGATTATGCTTTAATTTTAAAAGTAAACAATTATTATTGATAAGGAAAAAATTAAATAAATAAATATTTTTATTTATTTTTAGTCAAAAGCAAGACATCATGCAATCAGCACTCAATTATCAAAACCATTTGATTTTTCAACCAGTCCGCTTGTTGTACAATATGAAGTTAAATTTCAAACAAATCAAGAATGTGGTGGTGCTTATGTTAAACTACTTTCGTCGGATGGCACACAACTTGATTTGGTAAATAATTGATGATAGCTAAATCATACAGATTTAGACTAGAGAAAGTAGTGATTAAACATATTTTTATTTTTCATAAACAAGTTTCTTGCAGTTAATAACAATTCTTAGTCCTCTGAAAGAAAAGAATTAGTTCGAAAAAGTTATCATAAATTGACTATTTATTGGTTAGAAATATCCATTGATAATAGTTGATGAAATCTGCCTGACTCATTAAGTTATTGATTGCACTTTATTTCTTGGTATGCATTTTTCGTTTTTGTGTTTAGCAACAAGTAACAGACAAAACTCCATACACAATTATGTTTGGTCCAGATATGTGTGGTGTTGAACATAAATTTCATTTTATAATTCGTTATAGAAATCCAAATACTGGAGTCTACACTGAGCATCAGGCAAAAAAGACAACAGAACCATTAGATAGCTATTTTACAGATAAAAAATCGCACTTATATACACTTGGTAAAAGATTGAAAAAAAAAAGAAAACTATTCAATATCATTCTTTTTCGCTAATTTTAGTTTTATCGGCTGACAATAGTTTTAAAATGTATATTGACAATAAATTAGTGAATTCGGGTAGCTTATTAACAGATATGGAACCATCAATAATTCCTTCAAAAGAAATTGTTGATGAAACTGATCGAAAACCAGACGATTGGGACGATCGAGAAAAGTAAATGAAATGATTGAGTTGTTCTGTTTTTTTTTAATAATAATTGTTTTTCATTTAAGAATTCCTGATGCAAATGCAAAAAAACCAGACGGTAAAAAAATCATCTCCGTTTGGTTTTGTTCCTGTTAAACTTCTCGCATTTTTAGATTGGGATGAAACAGAACCAAAAGAAATTCCTGATGAATCAGCAACTATTCCATCTGGGTGGCTTGAAAATGAACCTCCAATGATTGCAGATCCAGCTGCTGTTCAACCAGTCGATTGGTAAGATCAATTTTCGCATAGTGAAATCGAAAAACTATTCGTTTTTGTTTTCTTTTAGGGATGATGAAATCGATGGTACATGGGAAGCACCAAGAATTGACAATCCTGCTTGTAAAGATATTGCAGGCTGTGGTCCATGGACAGCACCAATGGTACCTAATCCAGCTTATAACGGCATTTGGCGAGCGCCCTTAGTCGATAATCCGAATTATCGAGTATGCTAAGAATATTTGTAAATGGCTCGAAAAAATGTTGTTTGTTTTTCAGGGTAAATGGGAACCACGTAAAATTCCAAATCCAGAATATTTCGAAGAAACTCATCCATATAAATTAACTCCAATTGGTAATCTTGCACTTGAACTTTGGTCAATGGTTGATAGTATTGTATTCGACAATTTTCTTATCACATCTGATCAATCAATTGCTAAACAATATGCTGATCAAATCTGGTATCCTAAATCAGTTCTCGAAGGACAAGCCATATCAGCGGCTTCCGAAAGTGTTATCGATGCTATCGTTAAAGCAACTAAAGATCGTCCATGGCTATGGGCTGTTTATTTAATTGCTATTTTATTACCAATAGTTATTCTTGTTGTTTTCTGTTGGTCAAGAAAGTCATCAGCAGTAAAATCGACAGATGGAATAAAAAAGAAAACTGATGAAGCTGAACCAGATTCAACTGAACAGCAATTGTCATCAGGCGAAAATGATGAAGAAACTGAAGAAATTGAAATTGATGAACAACAAATGAAGCGCAATGTAACAAGTACAGCTGGTAAAGATGCACTTGAAAATGATGATGAAGGCCAAGAAGAAGAAGAAGAAGAAGTTAATGTGAGTATTTTTTATCTTTGCCTTTTTGGTATCTTTGCAATATTTCGTTTTTTTTTTCAAGGCTACCGAAACGAGCGAAAATACTAATAAAAGTTCGTCACCATCGGCTAGTAATAAATCACGTCGTCGCTTATTACGTAAAGAATAAATTCAAAGTATCGTTTTCTTTGTTTTTTTTTAATTCAGTTTCTGTCTGCAATGTCTCTTCATATTTCTCAACGACATGAAACAAAACAAAAAAGGAAATTGTCCATTTTTCTTTTCTATCAGCTATTCCATTTTTCTCTATATCTCTTGTTTGTTTGTTTTTCGTTGTTTCAGTCGGTGGATGTGTTTATTTCATTTGTTTGTTTGTTTTTTGTACTTTATCATATTGCTCTTTCCCTACTTATCTACATACCATACGTCTTCTCCTATTAGGAATTTTATCACTTCATTCGTATGTCTCTTGCATATAAAATCAAGATTTCAAAAAATAAAATAAAACGAAAGAATAACAAGATAATATGTAACAAAAGCGGAATGGAACAATCGTTCATAATGACAATACATAGACAAGTAATTATTAATTAACTTCATACAAATGTTAATATTGAGACATGTGGTCCAATCATGGAAAGCATCGCATGATGATGAGTAAGACATATGCAAAATGAATAGAGACCCTATGGAGTGGATGCTTAATGATAAGCAACAAGCGAAGTTTTGATTTTCACAAATTGAATTTTATTGAATAGGAAAAAGGTTTTTTTAAAGGAACATTGATTTTTTGTTTAAAACTTTTGGCCGAATGATATAGATTTATATTCGTACACAATACTCATTGCTTTTAAATATATTGCTGGCAATTAGTTTTTTAGAACTTAAAGAATTGTGATACTTACAGCAGTTCAAACAGGAGCATGTATTTACTATAGAAGCTCTTTAATTATTACATTCTCAAATAAAAAAATTAATATCTAGCATAAACTGCAAGATTTAGTTCAAATGAATTTCTTTTACGGCTTCATAAAAGTTCTCTTATCAGCCAATTGTTCTACCAACTGAACCAATGCTTTCACGTGTCCGTAAGAAATATCGTCACTATTTATATTAACATAGATGCATCCCTGGCGCACACGCAACCTTCGTTCATTGATTTTACTTCCTGCGTAACAGAAGACTGTCTCAATAGCCAACTGGAAGAAATTCAAAAACATAAAGTTTGGCTCGACTGAAATAAATAAGTTATAAAAATAATATATACTTGAATACCCATTTAATTCTAACTTGATTGTTTTAACATCTTTTTAAGTTTCAAATTATTGTTCAAAATCTTGTTTAACTTCAACGTTGTGTAGCAAATTTATTAATTTCATTGTTTTGTAAGCACCTTCTTAATGTTATCAAATTGAAACATAATGAGAACTGGAATGCGCATTAAATTTCTTTAAACTTTGACCAGTTAACATCATAAAGATTGGGCGGCCGTGGTACTTTATCTTTTGGATGGGCACCGGCGCCATAAATATAAACTAACTTTTCACATTTATCTAGTAACAGATACGCACGTTTGTGCCCAGGCAATCGGTACTCCCACGCATCATACTGTACCATTCGACAGTATTTATGTGGTATTGATTGAAATGATTTCTTTGACAGATGTGCTATAAAATCATTAAACGTATTGTTTGGTAAAACACTTTTCATTTCAAGTAACTTTTTATAAACTGCGTTGTTACTTGTGCCTACCCTATATTTGGGCTGCTTTTCATCTATTAATGTTATTGCATTAAGGCAAAAAAAGAAGAGAAAATACACATTTAAGCTTACTACTTTTGATCAATATATTCTTGCACTTCGAAGCCATGTTTTCTGGCGAATGCCTTGTTTTCGTGCTATTTTATAGTCGAAAACAAAATGATGAAGGCGGAGACTTTTCGTTGATTAAAAGTATGACATAAAACACATGCATTTATTATGCTTCTACAAATTTATTTACAGAAACCGTATTTTTGATAATACGAGCAAATTTCGATTGTATAATCACGAAAGAAAGTTCTGGATTTTGTTTATGCTACGCAATTCCAAGAGACAAAAACAAAATTATTCAATAAAACTAGCTCGACTATTTCTTCTAGATTGTCTGCCCCATTACATTACAGTTTCTTATTCAAACGGCTTGTTGAAGAGCCTCCATCCGGTTACATCTGATAAGGTACTGATGTATCAATCGATTGCTCATAAAAATTGTTCGAGTTTAATATTGAACAGCTAAAGAGAATAATACAATAATCCTTTTAGCTTCATAGAATAAATTACATTTGATACATTTTCATTTTATCGTATAATATTTGACTCAAAATCAGTTTTAGCTATAAGATAAACAATGTAATTCGTCATAGGCCATTTACAGACATAAGCCTATGGGAATATAAAATATTGTTCTGGCTTGTCCAACATAAACTAATGAGAAATATTCGCATATGAATGAGTCCGATTGAATTACACGAATTTGATTTTACATCCAATCAACGAAATCTAATCAAATACTTATTAGGCTTCTCACTAGATTTATTATTGTTCTGAGAAGCCTACCGAATCTAAATAATAATTTTGATCTACTGCCTACGGTTAATAGAAAATAGAAACTCGAAATTTTGTGTTGTTTATCAGAGCTGTGAAATCGCTTTGTAATAATCCATTCGATATACAAGATTTTTATGATAAAAAGTTTTACTAGATATGATAGGATGCGGAAAATAGCCATTCCTGCATCCTTCTTTTAAATAACATTCCGTAGCTCAATGGAAGAGTCAAGTCTCTGCACGATATTCTCGATGTCCAATGATATTATCATAGGGTAACACGAGAGTAAAAATTCCTCCTGTTTTGATAATAATATTATTAGATGATTACGAAAATTATTTATAATTTGCAACACCATTAATTCATACAAGCCCGCCAATTATGTTTAGAAAGTGGCTATGTGCACACAACAGATAGAATCAATATTTATTAAGAAATTTCAAGTTACTCTCAGCCTTGACTATTCTTTATTATTAATATAAATTCAATATTTTAAGCTTTTATGAATTTTACTCGCTAAATTGTTTGGTAAGATTAAGAAAACTGCGAGTCAGGTGCTGCGCAACCAAACGAACGTAGGAAAAACACCCAATATGAATAAAATTCAACTATTTTTGAAACAATATCCGTTATCTTCTTATGCTTCTAATGCTATAATTATATTTTATTATTTCAAACGTATTGAATAGAATTGTCAAGTGGAAATTTTTGCTTAGAGAACAATGGTGATTGACAGTCCTTCAGAATAATCTCACTCACATTCTATCCTCGCCGCAAAATTGTTGATAGTTATTATGAAAATAAGTTTTAAGTGTTTTTAAAAATGGTCAATATTGTTGAATTGCTTTGCGAGGAAAAATTTTTTATCGTACCGCATTTGTTTTGAAGAACAGCAACGATCTGATTATTGACTAGGGGTGGCACTTCAATTTTGATGTTAAAGTTGCAGTTAAAGCCAACAGAGAATTAATCATGAAGAGCTAAAAAATTATTTTTTACTTAACTCGGATTTGTTAAAGTTAAATTGGCAAAGTGTTTTGCTTTGACTTTAACTTTTAAAATAAAGTTAAGGTGCCACTCCTACTATCGACTGTTGAGCACTAACACAAGAGTCAAAACTAATACGCTAGTATAAACATATAGTTGTATGAATGAAACACATGGATTCAGGTATGACAGTGTTACAGTTATTTAGTTCTATAATTGTGTATTTCTCATTATAAATGAGGCCGTTGAATGTGAATATTTGATTTTTCATTGCCGATAAGAAGTGCCAAAGGAAATTTTGAAGCGAGCATTAATTAGCGTATCTTAATAGACTACATATCTCGACGTCGAACGCTAATTAGCTTCTATATATTTCGATATTTCACTTTGTAATCGAATTAATCGCGAAAAAAAATCTAGTCTTTCATGATCAACCAACGGAAGGAAGATGTACTTGTTGATACAATGTAAGCTTTGTTAAATATTCTGACAATAATAAAACAACATACATTGGTTTTCAAGAGTCACAGTGCGATACCTAGTAATGTTTCTACATTAGTTAACCGTTATTGGGATGATTTTTTTTTCTATATTCGTTTAGTGGTGCAGCACCTGACTCGCAGTTTTCTTAATCTTACCAAAAAATTTAGCGAGTAAAATTCATAAAAGCTTAAAATATTGAATTTATATTAATAATAAAGAATAGCCAAGACTGAGAGTAACTTGAAATTTCTTAATAAATATTGATTCTATCTTCTGAGTGCGCATAGCCACTTTCTTATGCTTAATGCCCTACATTTTCCCCCTATATTCAGCCGTTGATTTATTTTTGACATTGCTTAATTATATCTTAACATTTGTCGTTTCCATATTGTATCGCTTCAGCTACATAATGTTGTTCGTTATGCCTATACAGAAACAAATGTTGTCCTTCTCTGTTTTTGTCCTATTCTGTTATCATTCATATCTCAAATAGGATAGACAACATAAGGTACTGTCTATATTGTAAATAAGATTAACTACGGAATATCGGTGAATATGACAATAAGAATTGGTGCTCCTAATCTTCATGTTGACTTAATGTCATTTAATCTAGTGCCGGAAGTAAAACGAACACAACGAACTCTTCTGTGTTTAATTTCTATTGTCCTCGTAAGTTTGATTTATGAATATAATTGATTCGTTTTCGTTTTGTTTCTTAGGGCATTTCTATAATTAGTTTTATTTTAATTATTTACTCATTATCAATTAAGTACCGAACAAATACTTATGAACCAATTATTATTCTCTGCTGGATTTTATTTTTTGCTTGTGGAATGCTTGTGACTCAAAGATACTATTCAATGGGATTATTTGTGGTAGGAGTGCAATATTGAATTTATTAATTTTTAAATACTTAACGATATCGATTCTTTTTTTTTTCAGTTTGCATGGTTAGGTATCATCAATATAATTTTAACGTGTATTCTCATTGTGTTAGTGACAGTTGGAATAGTAATGATAACTTCTGACTCATCGAAACAAACTTCAGAAATGCCATTTACTGTTATTCCAATTGTTGTCGGTTTGACAAGTGTAATACTGGATGTAATTATTTTTTATTTTGTGATTCTTACGTTTTATGAAATTTGTGTTTTATATTTTTAGGCAGTCATTGTCATATTTTCATTTAAATTATCATATTTAATCATGAAAAATACAAGGCCTAATAATCATGAACGAAGTTAACTGATTATTTTCGAATAAACTTACTCGACGAAAAAATGAAATATTATGAGACGACAAGACTATTGATGATTATAATATTTTCGTCGAGTGAACACTTTTTTCAAAGAAAATAAGTTTTGTATATTTTATGATTTTATGAAAAAAATGATCGTATTTCTTTTGATTCTATTTTTCGTTTAATTCAAGTAAGTAATGTTCAGATTTTGAAAAATTCAAATGCAAGTTGAAGAGTTTTTTCAACTTAAATCGGCATTGATACAATAATCGAATAAGTTTAAGTTAGGATCCTGTCGCCGTTGAATATAATTCACACTTTGTGATTCCATAAAAAGAAAACATTATTTTGAATAATTCTCTAAAAACAGAAGGTTAGCAATCAGCATTTTAATTTTCATACTATCATTTTTAATCTTGTTAGAAATACAACATTGCTTATGAACTAAAGTAGATTCGTTCATAAAAAATAAAGACTCGGCAACCTAAACTATTTTAGTGTTGAAAATTCGTCTTCGAAAAATATACTACACGTTTTATCTTCAAAATTATTTATCAGTTTAGAGCCAATCGTATTATATCATGGGTAAATGCATGCAAAGCACCGTATGGGAATAAGCAGATGTCTTTCAGTTATCTCATTCAATCAAAAGAAAATATTATAAATAGGCATTGTTTTAGTTGAATAAAACAAAGGGTAGGACAGAAACTAAAGCAACAATGCTTCGTCTTATTTTTCTTTTATTCACCACAACAGTTCTTTCAAGTTCAACGTATCGACCAGTTGTTCTTATGCATGGTATTCTTTCAGGAGCTGATGATATGAACGAATTAGCTGGTTGGATTCGAGCATCATTTCCTGATATCTATGTCGTATCGATTGAAGTTGGTAACGGGGAAGATGATTCACTTCTATGGCCACTAGAAAAACAAGTCGAACATTTTTGCGCGTCTGTTCTTGCTGATGAAAAGCTTCGTCCAGGTTTTAATATGCTTGGCTATTCTCAAGGAAGTATAATTGTACGTGGGGCTGTTGAAAAATGTTCATTACCTGTTCATAATTTAATAACCTTAAGCGGTATTCATCAAGGTGTTTTCGGTGTACCATATCTTCTCAAGCTTCCTGCAGAATTCCGTGAATTAGTGTCAAAATATGCCTATGAAAGTGTAGTACAAGATGCAATTAGTGTACCAGGTTATTGGCGTGATCCCTATCAATTGAACAGATATATAGCAGACTGCCATTATCTTCCCGACATCAATAATGAACGTGACGCACGAAATGAAACTTATCGTGACAATATGTTGAAACTGAATGCATTTGTGATGACTTACACTGATATTGATGAAGTGGTTACACCAAGTCGTTCAGGTTGGTTTATGGGCTATGCACCGAATACACTTGACGTTGAAACATGGAATAATTCAAGGCAATTTAAAGAAGATCTTATCGGAATGAGAACATTGCTGGAGCAAGGAAAATTATATACATTTACTTCTCATGTACGCCATCAAGATGTTCCACATGCACCAAATCGAGATTTTATTATAGAAAATATACTTCCTTTTTTTAACAATACACTTTCATAGAGTAGAAATGTTTTGATATGATGTTCTATTTAAGTATGAAACGTATTTTTATTGTATTATTATTATTATTATTATTATTATTAATAGAATTTTCAAGGTAAACGTACAAGTATCTTGAAAAAAAGCAGGTGGTCTATTTTTCACTGATCATTGATAAACAGCCCAAAATAAAATGATCCTCGATCATATTGCACATACTACAATAACTTGTAAATGTAAAGAACCGACATCAAGCGATCTAATATACTACTTGAACTTTAATTATACTGTCACACTTAGTTATATACATATACCCGATAATATACGGTCATTATTTTATTGATCAACTAAGGATTTGAATTCAGTTCCCAAAATTGTAATCTATGTTTTTATGTCAGATTGAGTATTAAGAGCATAGAAACTAGGTCACGTATTGAATTTTTGCAATGAAACCAATAGCAACTAGTAATATAGTACAATATGGATGTCAGATTCTCACAGTTTAATCTAGTTCTCGGGTGCAAAATAAATTTTGCATCAGATCATCTTCCACCTTCACATCGATTATTTCCATGCCATATTAGACTTCTAGCAGCTAGGTCGCTCTTGCCTAATTTTTGTTGGTAATAGCAGTGCTTTAGATTTCATTAATAAATTGACCCAGCTAGATACGTCAAATTTATCTGTAAAATCATTTTTTTTTATTTAACAAAACTTGTCAAGTTTCTATTTACAACGTTTAACGATGTGTGATATTGAAATCCTATTTTTTGACGAAAACAAAGCTGCCATGCTAACTTCTCGATAACGAGTTTCTTTGTATCGAAGTCTATTTTTGCTTAGAATTAACTTAGAGATTTCATCTTTTTATTATCATTCTATCACATTATCTTGGAAATGAATTTCAATAATAACTGTTGCCGGTTTTTGTCTCATTCAGTAAAACAAGACATTGTGATATGTAAAACATACATATTTCTTCTATTATACTTGGTCAGCCCATCGAATAGTGGAGGTATTCGATTATCTAGTATACTTTCTTCTTGATTAATAATGGAAATGACTGGTCACATTACAGCATATTAAAAATCTAAAGTTTGTTAATTCAAATTGAATTGGATTTAAAAAATTGATAGTTCATCAGTTATGCTAGACTTTCTACTTATTCGGATCAAAACAAGCAACTGTCTCTCTGGTGTGTATATATATATATTATAGTTTTTCTTAGTCCGGAAATTATTTTGGTGTAAAGGAAGTATTGACGCGACATAATCATTTAACATTTATGACGAATCTTACCCATTAGAAAGTAGAATATGGTATCTAAAGCTTTTTGATGCTTTTCAACGAAATCATGCCGTAAAAGCTTAGTCAATGGAGTAGCTGCAATAGTTAGGTCGGATGAATACCACTATATTTTAAATAGAGTACCTAAAAAAGAATATTTCTCTGGCTAAATACTCTTGCCAATTATAATAAATAATACAATCGGTTTTCGGTGGAATGTTAGTTTCGGAAATTTTCGAAACTGTTTCATTTCCCGATCATCTTTCGTCTTCTTCTGAATAGCATGACACTATTCCAAATGTCGTAAACATTGGAAAAGGAATTGCTTCATTGTTAAATAGTAATGATCGCTAACAATAGTTCAAAATCTATTCTCTCTGCGCTGCTAGATTAGAACATATTTGTTTTTTCATCATCTTCAATGTTACCAATAAAATAAAAAAGGAAATTAGTTGAATTATTGAAACAAATATTGTATATATTTCAAATAGTAATGATCGATACAGAACTAATCAAATTCGCATCTTAAGGTGAATGATATACATCAAATCAAAGGATCTTGCTGTTGTACATCTTCTTGATTTCGCTGCTTCAAAGATTTCGCTAATTTAAACATGAAGATAATTTTCAGAATCTGAAAAATAAATCATTTCAATAAAAACAAATAGGATCAGTGAACAGAACAAACACAACTACATACCGATACACTTATAGAGGTCAAACCAACAATCATGATCATAATAGAAAAGGTAACATATGCGACAGTGACAGGACTGTGTTTTGCAACATTATCGCTCGTTTTTGATTTATGAACATAAATAACAGTTACAAATACTATACTAACTGTCGCAAGAATCAAATACATTACTTCGATCCAAGCAAACTAATGCAGAAGAGTCAATACCGAAACTGAACAAGTAAAGCATATTTACTTACTATAAGAATGCCGAGACGATCCAATTTCATTACAAAAAAAAGTGCCAAACATACAATAACTAAGTCGATATCGACTAGAATGACAAGAAACCGTTTATATAAATATATAATGATTACAGATGGTTTCAGAGCATTTCTATGGAAAAATAAAAATCAATTTAACGAACGCGGACAGTTTGGAAATTGACGCATTAGAGTTATATAAAAAGATAGCCTCAAGATATGTATAACTCTAAAGATCACCATAATTATAAGACAAATTAAAGTACTCAACTCAAGACAACGGAAGATTTCTTGGTGATAAAAATAGATTTGATAAAACAGCTTACTTCCAGCCATAGTATCGGAGATTTTGTTGAATTTTTCATCAGCCACTTGCACGCTGAATAATACTTCAATGTTACTAACCAGAAAACCGAATACATCTATCCCCTATAAAAATCGCATATAAATTTCCTGATTGAAAAAGAAATGTGATCGAAGAATGTATACCATCGTAATGAATAGTAAAATAATCAAGACTTTCTGTTGTGATTTCGTTCGAGTATTCGAATGAGTGCTATTTGATGAATCCATTGTGATCTGATTTTCAAGTTGTAATTTCAGCTACGCGAAGTTGATGTTTTGTGCTTGTTATCTATAGCATATAAAATAAAGATAAAGTAATCAATGATAATTGTTTTGTTGGTTTGTTCTTTCTGGCCCATGACATTCCTAAAAGAGACAAAAATATGTCAAGTTACTCCAACAGTTCGCTTATCAATGCTAAGGAACAAAACTTTCCCGATGGGATTCTATGAAGCAATGATCATGTTTCCTCGTTAAAACTACACGTTAGGGCAGAATTGGTGTCTTTGATTATTTTAGCTTCTGTTTACGAAATATGGCGACCTTGTGAAGAAAAAACCTTTGCCTTTTTCTCATGTATAAACAATAAGAGATGACAACTTAATTGTAAAACATTCTGTGAAAAAAAAAGAATAGGAAAGTAGATATAGTTAGGTTTAAAACAACTGAATCAATACTTTCAAAAAAAATTTACTCGCCGAAACAAAGATAAGAAAACAGTTCGTTTCATTGTGTCCCACGGGATTTCCCATTCGGAGCTCTCAGTGGAATATGCACGTATCACGATACTAATTTAATGTTGCTAGAAGGAAAGCAAGAGAGAAAATATATACCTCATAACACCATAAAAATTCTTCTGGCTGGTCTTAGATATTCGTGATTTGCATTTATTCGAAATTGCCTAATACGAATTAATTTTAAATAACAATTTAATTTTCTTAGCACAATTGTGATTAATTAACTTAACGAAACCTGTTCTACTTAATGATTATTGTCGAACTTATCAAACAACTTTTAGCCATTTCGTAATACTTTGTTTTTATCCTGAATGAATTATCGTTTATAGTAAGTTAGTTTTTTGAATAAAAATTCTATGGCCCTAGACGCTCACTACGATATTATCGCTTTAAAAAAGGTAACCTTCATTTCTTCGCTGTATCTTTATATAATAAAAATAAATGATTGATTTATCTTCTTTTTCTAAAGATAAAAAAATTCATTAAACTTTATTTAACAAGGATAAATGATTGATTTATTTTTATTTCAAAAAGGTAACATCACAGAACCACCCTGCACCTACCGTTTCGGTGTGTGCTCCCATAAAATCTCTCTTAAACAGAAACTGCGTGGCGAAAATTCTCACGCTGCAGGACGCAGAGACGGAACCGTGGTACTGGTAGGGATTTCGCACCGGCTTAATTCGTTTATTTTCCTTAGTTTATGATTTATACTTATTCAAAATTTCTTGTTCGTAATAGCATAAAATAGTTTATAGATGAATTTTTTCTAGTATTAAACAATTATCGATTGATCAATCAGTTATTTGTAGGCTAGTCGATCCCGTTCGTCAAAAATCTAGACCTGTTCCGTCTATGACTCCAAGATCATTTTCGGAAACAAAAACGAGAAGCAATCGTCAGCATTATTCAATATCAGCCACTTCGGCCCAAAAGCCAGCGGTTTCGCTCACATATGACTTCGTTTTTATTCTTTTTAGCTCAAGTTTAGATAGAGCTCGATATTGCGAATCAGAAAGAGTTTTTCCTCAATATTTTTTCTGTTCGGCAGAAATCGAGAAACAGATGTGTGCACGTGCGTGTGAATCAAGAGATAATTTTCACTCCGCCCTACACTAGAGCCCTTCGATTTGCTCACAGAAAGGTATCCAAACAAATCTAGGCAATGCTTGTTACAGCTCGGTATATTACTTTCGCAATTTTTGTTTTTGTTTTTGAAAGAAAAGAAACCCAATCATTCTCATACTGAATAGTTGCGCAAATTTTACGTTGCATCACTATATGTAACCTGCTTGAGCTGATGTCTGATTGCTGTGAAAATCTAAACTATTGAGTGTTTAATCAAATCGGTTGAGGAATCATGTGATTGGAAGTATATATGGAAGTGACATTAAAAAAATACTCAAACCTTTAGAATGTTTACCTGAAAAATCCCAATGATTCTACGTTGAGTAGACCGTATCTATCCGATTATGTGTACTCAAGTACCTGTAAAGATAGAATTTAGCCCGCTTTCGTTTCTGTTCGAAAGAGATCGATCGCACCATTCATGCCTGATAAATTGCTAATGTATTATTCTCTTTCTTCTTTTTACTAACGAGAAAAATATATAGCATTTAACGATACACCATAATACACTGAAATGTAATATTCAATTGCAGTCGTATGGATGCAAGCGCTTATACACAATGAATACGAATCATTTTCGCTTTTATTCCAGAGAAAGAAAACATGGTGAGAATGGGGATGTATTCAAATATCTAGCAATCATTATCATGATTTCATCCTGGCTAAAGGATTCCTCGGACGGCTTTAGAGTATCAATGAACCATAATGTTTATATTGCATCGGGACAGGCAGTGGTACCAGCTAGCAGTTATATTTATTTTTGGCATCGATGTGGGCGTTTTTAATATACAACCCTAGCGCGTTTAGGCCATGCTTGAGGGGCTCATTAGATTCTTTTTGGGTCAATGAAGAAAAATGCATTCAATTTCGCTTGATTCATGACGACTGCTGTAGCTTTTCATCATTGCTCAGATATTCGTTGTAAATTTTCAGTGTGAAATTGAATTTGTAGATATGCATAACTATACATACATATCTATATGTCGGAGTTGACTCTAAAATCCAGTTGCCTTTAAAATTTAAGAGTCAACTAGGATGAAGTTAGTGGGCGTTGGTGTAGTTATTTGCTTAATCCACACCCACACCCTCAAGATCATGTGCTAGAAATAGATAACAGATAAAAAATAGAAGTGAAATGAAAATCTTGAGGAGATGTGGGAATCACTGCCATGTTCGATTTTGATTTTCCTAAACGATCTCTTTAGATGATTTTATTGATTCTATTTAGAAAGTAATCATGAATAATGAATATAGTGTAGTGGTACAAAAGAAATGTAAACGTCAAGAAGCGACGATTATTCAGTCAATAATCTATATCATTTATGGAGCCAGTACCGGTAAGGATTTCAGATCAGTTACATCTCTAATATGTACCAAAACTAAATCAATGTCTATTACGAGTAGTATTATGAGAACCAACGCGAGTGTAGAAGTCTCAGATAGCGAAAATTAATGATTATGAGCGACAAGAACAGATTGTATATTTTGGTAGCACTATTCCTCCTTTTTTAATTGCTATTCGAAAATTCACTAACATCACCCTGGACTAACGTAGTCAATATTTATACATAAACATATAAATCGAAAATTTGTTCAACGACACAATCACTACATAGGAAAAAATGATAACAATAAAAGAAGATTTAAGCAACACATGTTGTCAAAAAACTTTCATCATAAATATGAAAAGGTTATTTCGATTTTTTTCTACCATAAACTTTGCTCTTTTGCCGATAGGAAAATAGCCTTGTTTCACACACTGAAGTAATTCTAGAATTATGAGCAATGATCCATTTTAGCACAGTCATAAATTGTGATTCGTCTAAAAGCTAAATAGCAAGGATAGATGATAGTTTTTGAAAGTTTTTCTTTCGACGCCTTTTCTTCCCAATGTATTTATTTTTCAGTCATTTTTAATGTTAGCAATAAAATTTAAAAGAAAGATTATTTCAATTATTAAAACATACAAAATACACATATGCGTATGCCAAATAGTATTGATCAACAGATTACTAACCAAGTTGACCTCTTAAGACGACTGATATATATATATATCTGTCTGTATCAAATCAAAGGATATTGTTGTTGTGCATCTTCTTGAGTTCGTTGTTTCAAAGATTTCGCTAATTTAAACATGAAGGTAATTTTCAGAATCTGAAAAATAAATCATTTCGATAGAAACAAATAGGATCAGTAAATAGAACAAAAACAACTACATACAGATACAATTATAGTGATCACACCAGCAATCATGATAACTATATAAATACTATTTGCGACAGCTGATTGAGTCTCTTTTGGATCATTATCGCTCGTTGATGATTCATCAACATAAATGACACCCATGAATACTATACTAACTGTCATAAGAATCAAATAGTTTACTTCAATCCATGCAAACTAATACAGAAGCATCCAAAATTGTGAAACTGAACAAGTAAAGCATATTTACTTACTATAAGTATACCGAGACGATCCAATTTAATTACAAAAAAAAGTGACAGACATTCAATAACTAAGGCTAAATCGACTAGAATAATAAGAACAATTTTAATACAAATACGTAATAATTGATGATACTTCGAGAGCATTGTTTTTATGGTCATGATTTTGGAAGATTAGAGTAGTATAAAAAGATAGTCTCAAGGTATGTGTAACTCTAAAGATCACTGTAATTATAAGACAAATTAAAGTACTCAACTCAAGACAACGGAAGATTTCTTGGTGATAAAAACAGATCAGATAAAACAGCTTACTTTCATCGAGAATATCGAAGATTTCTTTAACTTTTCCATCAATCGTTTGCAATCGAGATGCTACTTCGATGTGGGTAGCAAAAAAGCAGAGTACACCCATTCCCTATAAAAGCGCATCTATATTTCATGATCGAAAAACAAATATGCCCAAACAATGTTTACCATAGCAATGAAGAGTAAGATAATTAAAATTTTCTGTTGTGATTTTATTCGCGCATTGAATTTAATGTTATTGGTTGAATTCATTGCCACTTGATTTTCGAATTGTAATTTCAGCTACGCGAAATGTATGTTTTGTGCTTGTTGAAAAGTAGGAACACGCAATTTTATCAATTGATTGTTTGATTTTTATCTATGCAATACGAAACAAATGTAAACTAATCTATGTTGATTTTGTTTTATTCATTTGTCCTTTCGTGCCAATTATATTTTGAGAGAGAGAGAAAAATATATCAAGTTTCTCTAAGTATTCGATTTTAAATACTATAGACGAGCTAGGAATGTAATACCGTTGTCTCGTAGATAAGAAAACAAAGCATGAAAGAAAATTAGTATAAGTAAAAACGTTTTGGATAAGAACCAGAGACGTGCACAGGGCAGGGCGGTCCTGCTGTCCTGTCCTGACACCCGCCAGGACCAAAATAGCTAGCAGGACAGGTAAGGACAGGACAAAAAAATCTTGTCCTGTGCACGTCTCTGGTTTGCACCTGTGGGGGAATGGCCCATTAACACTGATACTAAACAATATAGATAAACTTTTTGTTGAAAATAGTAAATGATATTGTAGATTAAATTGCTAAATTTTACTCAACTAGTTATTAATGAAAATCTATGATAAATAAGATCTAACTGGTTTGCGAAATAAAAATTAACTAGATTTACATATTGATAAAAGCAGATCGTGTGAAATTTTATATAAGAATTGAAGATGATCGGTATCTTTTTCAATGACTAATAAATAATTGTGATGCTTCACTGTATTTGTAGAGAATAATAATGAAATGTTTGCGCAAGAACATCTGAACAGAATAGGCAGCTAAGTTACTATATACTCTTGAACAATTTATTTAGTTTTCATTTTTATGGATCTATATCGGTGAAAAACGAAACCAGGACTTCGAAAAACGTGACAAAATTCAAAAAAAAGAAAGCTTGTGGAGATTATTCTTGTTGTTTTTTCATATTATTTGTCTTCGATAAATAAGTGCTTTGTGTGTACAAAATTTGAATATTTTCCCATTATATTATGTTATTTTTCAATACTTTAATAAGACAAAAAAATATTTTGCGAGTTTCATAGTTCAGTCCAAAAGTAGTTACACTTTTTTTCGCATTACTGCTCAACACTTTTGTTGTTTTGATTTCAAACAGCATATGCTGACAAGAATGTGAACAGATATATATATTATACTTCATATACTGATCCTAATCGAATTTCGTTAGCAGAATTTATATTAAAAATTGAAAAATTGATATGAAGCATGCAATATCATACTATTGATTTCAATTTGGAATTCATAATAGGTATCAAACAATATATTAGTAGCAACGATGTATTTCAAATACACTAGTTCATATTCATGTTTTTCTGCCGCAATCAATACAAGTAATTTATTACTGAGTAGAAAAACAAGTATCATATGGTTTTTCACTATTTTATGATTAAACACTTCAAGAAATGTATAGAATATGTCGAGGAATTTTAATAGTGATGATGAATTTTTGATTTCGAAGCTTTTTTTGAAGTATTATTTGTACATTACGATTATTATTGTTGAAATTTAATAGATATTAGAGCAAAAAGAGTACTTAAATGTGTTGTAAATGATTATATAAGCCTCAACGTGTAGCCACAGCAGATGAATACCCAGGTCGTGCATTACGACGACTAGATACGGCCGCATTCGGCCATATACGCGGAACTTACGATCGTATACGGCGCAATACACCAACCGTTTCAAAGTCGTATCCTACCGTAAACGGCCGTATTAAAGATCGGAAACGACCAACTACTGCAACGTACACGACCGTAACGACACCGTAACCCTAATCCACTCTCCCCCGACGACTCCCCGGGGAGTCCCCGCAAAATAACGAAATCCCTAGGGAGTCCCTGTCGTGAGTCCCCGGAGACTTTTTATTTGGGGGACTCCCCGGGGATTTCTCTGGGGAGAATTGGTGAAGTTTTTCAAAACTAAAAAAAAACTTTCAAATTTTTTTAAGTTTTAAAAAATTTAGAAGAATTTATTAGTAATTAGATATTTCATCGATTTTGGTCATATAACTCCCCGGGGAGTCCCCAGGGAGTCTCCATAAAAGAACGAAATCCCTAGGGACTGCCTGTTGTGAGTCCCCGGGGATTTGTCAGGGGACTCCCTGGGGATTCTTCTAGGGAGAGTTGACTAGGGAACCGATAGTTTGCGACCGTATTTCGGAAAACAAGAAATACACATCGGCATAACCCACCAATCAATGAAGAAAATACTGCAGACATCAATTCTGCTGCACTCGAACATAAATCAGGCGAAACATTGCCAGCTGCAAAAAATCCTGCGTCATCTCATATAAAAAATCCCACAAATCATACTTCAAACAAATATTATCCTAACATTTTTGTTCCTCAGAATCCATTGAAAGCAGCCATTGCCGATTCAACGTGATTTCTACTGAATCAAACCGTCGGGATCCTCAGAAATCTCAAAAATAGAAAAAGCATCATAGAAATCCTGCTAAAAGTGTTTTTTTAATAGAATTAATCTGCAATGAGATTAGATACAAAAAAAAGTAATCAGGCCATGAGAGACAGACAAACCAGATCAAAGAAATAAGATGAAAGGCACAGTGAAGCAGGTATTTCGCATACAAATATTTGGATGAAATTTTTGTTCCGAGTAACTGAAAGAGAGAATGAGTTGAGTATCGATGGTAATCATCATACAGAACTTTCGGGAAGTTTCTAAACACTCAGTCAGGAATCATCTTGTCGTCAATGGCACATGAGCTGTCCTTTACCAGACTCATCGAATGCATGCTACATACACGCCATTTGATTCTACGGCTGTACGCATAAGAGCCTGTAAACTGGCATGGCTCCACCAGGTTCTTTCCAGTCACACAGGCTCGCCAATATTAAATTGTATGAAAAGAACAACAAAACACCTTTTCGAATAATACGATTTATTCAACAGAGAACAAAGAATTCACTAGTCTATTCGAGAGCAAATTGTTGAACACGTTGATTTTTACAATCAACGACATAGAGATTCCCAACTAGATCAAGAGACAAACCAGTGGGCTCGTTGAGCTGATTTGGTTCGTTTCCAGAGCTACTTCCGCCCACCGCTAATTTGCCTTGTTTTGCTCCTTGAGCCCATCGCATTACACGATGGTTCTCAGTGTCTGCCACATAGAGAGTGCCCAAGATGTCGACGAAGATCCCGTTAGGATGATACAACTGTGTCTTATCAGTCCCTTCGCCGTCTCCTCCAGCGATGATGATGCCTTGTGTTGCATCTTTAGTCCATTTCATTACACGATGATTGTTGTAGTCTGACACGTAGACATTCTGTTCTCGATCAACAAAGAGATACCTCGGCTCACTGAGCTGACTTAGACCATGACCTTTGCCATTGCCACCAGCTACGAGGGTGTTATTCTTGTTTCCTACTCGATATCGCCGTACTTCGTCCTTTTCGATGTCAGATACATAGAGATATCTCTGATCATCCATAGCCAATCCCCAACATCGAATGTTATCAATGAGGATTTCTCCTTGTGTTGTGCCATTACGACGAGACCATCGTACGACTCGTCGATTTCCTTCATCACAAATAATGAGGCTATTTGTCTCTTTTTCGCTCAATACATCCGTTGGATATTCTAATTGATTTGGTCCTCCTCCTTTCTCATTTCCACCAGCAACGACTTTCCCGTGGCCGCGTTGAACAAATTGTTCACTGTCACTCTCAATGAGTTGTCCATTAGCACTCCATACAACATGTTCATTGCCACCCAATACAACATGTTCATTGCCACCCAATACAACATGTTCATTGCCACCCAATACAACATGTTCATTGCCACCCAATACAACATGTTCATTGCCACCCAATACAACAGTTTCATTGCCACTCAACACGACAGTTTCATTGCCATTCCCACTGCCTTGTCCATCCGTAATATCACTTATCTGCCGTTCGATGATACGATGATTCCACATGTCAGCAATGAACACTGTTTGATCATCATCAACGAAGACGCCGTAAGGGCGGCTTAATTGATTGTTGGCATTGCCCTGCTCGTTGCCTCCAACAATAGTCACACCATTCTGTACCCATTTCACGTCAGTAGGAACAATGGGCATAACTGCAAGCAACGCAGAAATACAAAATAGGAGATTTTGATCATCCTAATCCCTGCTGCGGGAGTGCTAGAAAGACCACATGGCAGTGTGAAAAGAACTTGACTAGTCCTTTGTCAATTAATAATCAGAAATATTTGCCAATATGGAGGCATGATATGCGAAAATCTATTGGTAAGATAGTCTATTACTAAAAGCTTTTAATTTAGAAGTAGGGAAATCTAGAATAGCATGCGGATACTCGTGAAATAGAATAACATTTTTTTAAATTAATTAATAATTTTAGAAGGAATTAGAAAAACATTAAGATATCCAATAAGCAAGCCAGAGCTGAGAAAGATTAGTGATACTGTTTCTTTTGGAAATAGTTTATGAGAAACTGAAAGTTTCTGGGAATAATTCTTAGAGAATCGTAGGAGCCGTTACAAATACCTTTCTTGGAAAATTCTAAAAATTTTTTTTGAATTATTTTTTTGCAGGAAGTATCAGAACGTTTTAGAGGATTTCTCAATGCAAAGCCTCATGAAAAATCTTTAAAAATTCTACGAAATCTACAAGAGTGTATTTTGACATAGACAGATGAAGAGCTGCACCTGATCCAAAGTATTCGAGATGTTATCGAATTTTTCTTAGTTTTGAATAGTCTGCAACTTGGTAGTTCTTATTAGGCAACGGTCCGTTTTCCTAAGTTAGAATATTAAGAAATAATGGATAATTCTAAAGCCTGCTTTTTCACTATCGATGAGGTATATAGGAGAAAATAGTTATTTTCCATAAAGTTTGACAGATTACAATCGGGTACAGGGAATCGAATGAATGAACCACATCGATGATGCGGTGATCTGAATTTTTTCTCACTTTATATATATTTAAGAGCTAATGCATAATTCGAAAAAAGTGATGCAACCAATTAATTCGCTACCTTGAAATATTTTTCTCTTCAAACTTCCCAACGACGCAACAATTGCTGAAAAACGTCATCAGGAACGAAAAAAATCAAGCCCAAGGCGCTACAGTTACTATATTACTGATAATGACACCTTCTCACAAATCAAATAGTCGGTTTTTATCAACAAAGCAATCCAGGTTACACATATTGACTGTAATCTTTACTGATAATGTCCAAGGCAATACTTACATCGCAATAATTCTGAATATGTACCATAAATGATGATGAGTTTAATATCATCAAACCAATAATCTATTACATTGCTGCCATGGCCAAGCGCAGTAAAGTCGATGAACACTTCTAGCTCGCGAATTTCGTCACTCAAAAGTAATCTAGTATTTGTGACATTGAAATCTATATGAGAAAAATAAATTTTAGTCAGTGGAAGCATGAGCACCTTACTTAAACTTTGTCGAGCAACAACTCGATTATTACTATTGATTCCTCTTAACTCCATTGTTACACCAGTACTCATGCTTGCATTAAATTCAGCTTGGGAATATGACCAAAACCTTGAATCCCACTTGTCTAATAAATTGATGCGTTTGCACATAGTAGCTTCGATAGAAAGTGGTTGTATGTTGAACTGACAATTATTATTACTCTTATTGGACATAACCACAGTGACATTCACATTTCTCAATGTCCACCCATGAATAAGAGCATGCTTGCAATTAAGCTGCCCACCGTTGATCAAGTTGATATCATGAACCCGTGTTCCGTTAGGCAGTTCAGCGCCGTGAATAGATAGTGCTCTTCCCAATTGTACATCTTCAATATCGGTATTACGAAAAAAAACCTTGTATAGGTTGGCACGAGAAAAATCAATTTCTTTCAGGGTAGTGCCCACAAATGTAGTACGTTTAATATTCGAATCCGGAAAGTTCGAATAAGTTAAAATACTACATACAAATTTAGCTTGTAAAGCAATGGTCTCTATGAAATTCGTAAAAGATGCTCGAACGTCGGAAAACTCAGCTGAAGCTAAAAGATAATCAAATATTCTTTTCATAAAAAAGAGAAAACATTTAAAAATTACCTAAAATGGCGGAAGCGAAAGTAGTGTTATGAAGTTTCGCATTTAAAAATAGGGGATGACTGAGCTCAGTAGATGAAAAACTCACGTTGTTAAGTTTGGTAGATATAAACTTGACATTGACGAGCTGTGCGTGTGAAAAACACACATTTGAAAGTGTTGCAGATGTGAAATCCACATTGTTCACTAGAGAATATGAGAAATCGACATTCTGAAGTGTTCCAAACGAAAAAGAAACTTTTAAGAGCTTAGCAGATGTAAAATTCGCATGGTCGATTTGATTTGATGACAGTAAAACATTAATCAGTGAAACAGATAAAAAATTGATATTTCGAAGAGAACTTGATTCGAAGGTAACATTGCGAATGTTTCCGGATGAAAAATTGATATGTCGAAGAGAACTTGATTCGAAGATAACATTGCGAATGATCCCAAATGAAAAATTAGCATGATTCAAACTAGCTGATGAAAAATTGGCATCATCAATCAACCCCAAGGAAAAATTAGCGATGTGAAACTGAGCGTGAGAAAAATTAGCATGTCTTATCTGAATGTCTGCAAATGTGACATTCGATAGAAAGATTCCTGCCAATGATATTTGATCTAATTTTTTTACACCTAGTTTTGTATCAACTGCTGCATCACGAAAATCGATATTAAATAGTTTTGCTGTTGAAAGATCGAGGGAAAGGTTTTCCGGTGTATCTGTGAGTTGTTTGGCTTCGTAGAGAAAGCGAATAATTTGAACATTACGATGTGCGTCTAGTTGACGAAATGTATTCAAGGTTTTAACTCGAGCAACAGTAGACGTAACGTCATTGCGTCTAAGTGAACCACTGTTTTCTTCCAATAATTTAGCCATCGCATTAATGTAAGTATCGAAACGGTCGTTTTGATATTTCTGATCTGTCAAGTTTCTTTCCTGTTCACGTTGAAGTTCAGATCCTTTTCGATCCACTTCACGTTGCTGCTTAGATGAATTATGTTGTTCAAATGTGATGATAACAGTGAAGACACCCAATGCGAGTGGTAGTAGTAAAGATGAGGCAAACTTCAGACCATCTTTGAGTTTCAAACGAGATAATGGACGAGTTACAAGTGATTGATCCGTTTGTGTACTTCGTTCTTGAGAAAGCATAATCTTTGTTTAGTTTGATTCGTACAAGTAAATGAACAGATGATTACTGTCGATCGATAATGGTTGAATTGAGTTTATTTATTATTGATAGTTTAATGTAGGCAGAGTACGTGGGAAGTCCTATGACATAGGTATGACATAGTCCGATATGAAATTGAAAAACATCATGCTCTAATGCTGTTTGAGTTGCCCGCAGTATCCGCTCTTTTTTAACAGTAGAATTTAACCAGCTAATACACATTAGTGTTTTCCTTATTTTTGTCACATATGGATGTCAGTCAATATGAGTGTTTGCTAACATGAAAGATCATTGAGAAAAACAGAGTTTATGCACGAAGATAAAGGAAGAGATGATTCCTACAATAGTTAATTTGATATTTTGACTTTATCCTCAGATGACTTTACTGAGATTATTGAATGTATCCTGGAAACTGTTTTAAAATACTAGAAATAAGTACAGAAAATATCTATTTGATTGGTTTTATAACAAAGTAACTTGACAAGATGGAAGTATTATTTATTCTTCAAAGCAAACTGAATGCTGGAATATACTATCAAGATATGACATATTAAGAGTAAACAGATCGTGTCTATTGTCTGTGTGTATTGTATAGCAAAACATCTTTCTTGGTCGCCTCATCCTGTAGTACAACATTCTAGCCTCATGGAATCAATTTTTATTTTCGAAAATTTCATTTTTCAAATGCCGTACTTTTCTT